AGGTACACTGATGAAAATATCTCCGATTTTTACCCCAGTTCTTCGATATACTATGTTTTATCATGTTGAAAATCTTTTTACGTGCCCTAGACAATGTTTGAAGTTGGCTTCTATTTATTTTTTGTCATTGAAATAAAAAAAAAAATAAAAATATCGAAAGTGTCCTAAATAAATTCATCATTTTTTGTTAGAGCTACCAAAAAAAATTAACGGAATAATAGTTTTCGAAACAAACAAAAACTATTCATTTGAAACAGTTTATAGTATACGTCAAAACGTTTCAGTTTGATCGGACATACTGGTTCGAAGAAATAGGGACGTTTCAATAGTTTTTTTTTCATGAAAAAGTTGATTTAAGAAAAATGTGAAACAATATACAACTTTCGCTATTTCCATTTACATAAATTTAATTTCTTCTCGAGCTTTTTAACATTTACAGACAACTTTTGGCTTCCAAAATATACTCCGTAGATAGATACTATTTAAGACTATATAATAGACAAAAAAAAAAGAAGCAAAAAGTTTTGCGTCACAAAAGGAAAAGTATACCATTAAATAGATGAAATTTTTCTATCTTACTTTTAAAACACGTCGTTCATTCGTACCCATAATAACAATATTATCTTGAGCAAAAATAAATTTAATTTTAATATCATTTCTCATAGTTTGATAAATTAAATCTCCAACAGCACCTACAGTTCCATCGATATAAGTATTTGTTCGATATGGTTGCCATGTACATTCATTTAATTCTGTTAGATTTTGTTCAAGTGTTTTTTCACATATTGGTCGTAATTCAATACTATCAACAATATGTGAAAGACGATAACCATTTCCAGCTTGACATTGAATTTTTGATGCTTTAAATGCACTTATTATTTCATTCATTGAATAAATACAAACAAAATTATCAAATAAAATAAATAAATTATTGATTTTATCAAATGAATGAAAAGCACCTGTTATAATCGATAAATTTTTATCATTATTACAATTTAATAATGGTATTTCATCATATGTAACACGCATTGCTATTGATGATTGACATAAACGTGCAATACGTGATGATTTTAATATATAATATGTATATTGTTCATAATCAAAACCATATATATATTCATAATTATGTTTTTGAAGTAAACGTTCAGGTAAAAATGTTAATGATGTTATTAATGTATTATCACTTGATTCTAATTGATATTTAATATTATAACTAAGTAAATCTTTACCTATTTCAATTTGTGAATTAATTATATTTCCATTACGTTCAACACGATTTCCATTTAAAGCTGAACGAATTATATTTGACGATATAAATGTATAACAACCAGATAAACAACCAAGATAATTTGTTTCAATAGTTGAATCAAGTAAATATGTACGACTTATATCATTTGCATCATATAATATACAACGACCAGTTAATGAACGTGCACATATAATTAATAATTGTTTTATATGATCATAAACAAAAACACTAACACCATATTCAGTATTATCAATATATGAATGAAGTTGAACACGTCGATGTAGTAATAATAAATTTTGATTTGTTGTTGACCAATGTAATTGATGTAAATGTGATGAAGATATTGCAAATAACGTTGAAGTATTTTGTATATATAATAAATTATCAATGGATGATTGAAATGTATAACAGTTGATTATTGTTATTTTTAATAGAAGAATAAAAATGAATACTTTGTACATAACTAAACAAACAAATGAAATGTTAAAGTTAGAAAAGATAATAGCTAACATTTCGTTTTTTTTCTTTTCAAAAGAATATGTTTATATATCTTCTTTTGTAATAAGTGTGAAATATAGATTGAACGATGAAAACAATCGGTGAAATCAAAAGAGTATTGAATGAATAAAACGTATTTTTCTTTGATTTACAACTTTTTTTTGTTTAAAAATTCGAAATGATATTCAATAGAATGAGAATAAAAATATTTTAAGAGAATATAGAAAAATTTATTAATGAAGAATGATCTATCGTATCGAATTTATTTTATATCTAAAAAAAATCTTCAATTCATCCAATTAACTATTCTCATAGTTGTTCATTACTAACAGTAGAGAAATGAAAAATAAATGGTTCATTCAATGAATATAAAATATTAGAACATATCATTACCTATTTTAAATAGAATAAAACATATCACAAAGTATCATTTTTCTTCTCAAATGAATGCAAAAACAAGAGACAATACTCACTATCGTACTAGAAGAGAAAAATTATTTTTTCTCTTCGTCCGTTTATTCTTGAGCAAAGAAAAAAATCTTTCGCTCTGCCTCTCTCTCTCTCCCTTTCTGTTTTATTCTTTTCTCTTTCTCTCCTGCTGGTCATGTTCGTCAGAAATGGTATCGTAGACTATGCTTAGCATGTGTCATATGGTTTCTAATGATGAATCATCATTAGAAAACGACGTAGATATAACAAGAACTAGCATTTATTTTCTTCCTGATTTCTTTTTTGTTTGTCTTTGATCGTTTATAGTAATGATCGGAGCCAGACAACAATCGGCTATTGAGGGCTTGTATCAAACATATTGAGCTCTTCTTTTCTTTCTCTTCTAATTCATCGTTGTCTAGATGTGTACATTTTCTAATCATTTCGGACGTTGTCCGAAAGTATAAGATTAACATTAAACTAGTCTGCAATTATAGACGTGCATATACGTTCAAGTTGGTTTTGTTCGTTTATTCATTCGAAAAACAAAATAGTAAAAATTGTTAATTGTCGTATTCTATGAAAAGGAATAGATGAATAAATAAGTATTTGTGTTGATGTATCTAGATCGAATATTTAAATGAATTATAAAAGAAATATTAGACAAAATATAATCGTTACAGATCATTTGATATCTTAGGATTAGGAAAAATATGTTTTGCAATGAACCAAATAATTGAATGCAGAGAAAATGTTGTTTCTCTAGATGATCAAGATCTATATTTTAAATTTAATTGATTTTCTTACTCATCTATCTTCATATTATCTGGAACGAATATAAACATGACGGATAGCTTAATTATCACATATTGTTTTGATTAATACTAAAAGTAATATTTTTTTTTTAATNTAGTACAACCAGGACAAAAACAGAAACAAAAACAAAACAGGACAAACACAAACATCAGAAACACAACCGATAACCACAACCTGAGAACAAGTGAATGAATATCGCCCTTTACTGCTTATAAGCCACTGCACGAGAACCACGACCAGAGCTGCTCAATCGATAATCGCAGATCGAGATGGGAGTTAGTCCATCTTGTAGAGGATATTTTTTTAGGCATAAATCCAAATTTTTAGCCCTAAAGCTTGTATTTTGGCTGAGATACGAAATATCGACTGAAAAGCCCCAAAATGCCTTTTTTTTCAATTTTTGATTTTTTTGGGTGGCCGGCAACCATCAGTATTTTTACAATATCTCTTCACCAGAATGTGATAGAGACCTGAAATTTTTACCAGAGATAGATCGCAAGATGGGGAACATAATCAGCCTATTTAATAAGAGATATGGCGTGAAAAAGTATTATCCCCATTTCTAACCCTAGTCTCAATATAGGTCCAAAAGGTTCGATCTTGTGAATTCGATTTCTCATGATCAGCTCAATCCATTTTGCTCAAACTATTTTTGCAAAGACTACTATCCTAGTACTACACGCCAATGTGATCAGAAATTTGGGATCTTGAAATTTGCCCTAAAAATGATGAACCTCAAAATACTGACATTTCTCTGGTATCATAGAGCAAGTGGGACCCGTGTGGTTTTGAGAAAATTCAGAAAGCAAAGAACGTTTGACCTGAAACTTTCAGCAATTATAGAGATCAATAATAGTAATAAGTTCTACAATTTTCAGCCTGATCGGTAAACATTTTCCTTTATTTCGATAACTCGCTCTTTATTTGATTTTTTATCTAAATACAACTTCCTTTCTGCAATATTGTAACATTCAGTTATAATTATATTACATCTTTCGGTTCATCATATTATAATGTGACCATCATGTAATGATTTCCATGTACAATGCCTAGTATAGGATATATTTAAACTTTCAATGACTTGTTTAAGATTTTAAAGGAAAGTTATTTATAGGATTTAGTACAGTGTAAAATTTCCTATCGAATAATATATTAATTGATAATAAATTGCATAAGAATTGCTCAAAATTTTGTGAAATCATTCTTTTTCATATAGTGAACTTTGAGACCATTGATAATCACTAAAGAGCGAACTATCGAAATAAAGGAAAATGTTTAGGCTGAAAATTGTAGAACTTATTACTATTATTGATCTCTATAATTGCTGAAAGTTTCAGGCCAAACGGTCTTTGCTTTCTGAATTTTCTCAAAATCACACGGGTCCCACTTGCTCTATGATACCAGAGAAATATCAGTATTTTGAGGTTCATCATTTTTAGGGCTAATTTCAAGATCCCAAATTTCTGATCGCATTGGCGTGTAGTACTAGGATAGTAGTCTTTGCAAAAAAGGTTTGAGCAAAATCGATTGAGCTGATCATGAGAAATCAAATTCACAAGATGGGCCCCTTTTGGGCCTATATTGAGACTAGGGTTAGAAATGGGGATAATACTTTTTCACAACATATCTCTTATTAAATAGGCTGATTATGTTCCCCATCTTGCGATCTATCTCTGGTAAAAATTTCAGGTCTCTATCGCATTCTGGTGAAGAGATATTGTAAAAATACTGATGGTTGCCGGCCACCCAAAAAAATCAAAAATTAATAAAAAGGCATTTTGGGGCTTTTAAGTCGGTATCTCGTATCTCAGCCAAAATTCAAGCTTTAGGGCTAAAAATTTGGATTTATGCCTAAAAAAATGTTCTCTACAAGATAGGCTAACTCCCATCTCGATCTGCGATTATCGATTGAGCAGCTCTGGTCGTGGTTCTCGTGCAGTGGCTCATAGATAAATTTTGCAAGATACTAAAACTTTTATTTTATACAAATAAATAATCTTTAGATAGATCACATATGAAAAGCTAATTGCAATATAAATTTTACCTCATTAAAAATAAATGGGGCATTCCAAAAATTTAATGTTTGACATTGAACACATGGAAATACAAATGGATCACATTGTTTAAAAGCTTCAGATCCTTCACCAAAAAGTAATTCACTATTAAAATCATCATCATCATCATCATTATTATTCTCAACATTATTATTATCTTTTGAAGAATAATTTTTTTGTTGACGATTTTTATATTTCGATGAATCTAAACCAAGACATAGAGCAAGATATGCTTGATCCGTACCATCAAATGGTTCTAATAAACGTGATATAACAGGTAAAATTTGTTGATGCAAATAATAATTTATATCAATAGTTAATGATGATGGTGATGATAAAACTTCTTCACGTAAATAACCACGTTGCATAGCAGAATTTTGTGTACCATCCTAAAATAATTTAATTTTTCTTTTTCTTTTCTTCTCTTTGAATTGATTCAATAAAAACATACTTCACAAACAATATATGAAATAGTATCACCACGTTTCATTTTTCGTCCAGTTGAAGTTGTATTAAAACGTACAGCTATTTGTACATGTGGCAAACTTTTAACATCAGAATAATCACTTGGATCTTTTGAAAGTTGCTAAACAAATACAAATGATTATTAAGAAAGAAAAACATTTTTTTCTTGTTTGTTCTTAATAATTTACTCGATTTATTTCATATTGTTCAATATCAATTTTACCAGTACGCATTTCATCACCTAAGTCTCGTAATCGATTATGAATTTTATCAAGAACATCATCACGTGATTGACCAGAAAGAATAACTGATACAACAAACCTTTATTTTTTGAAGAATAAAAAAAAAAGCTTTTGTTTTATTTTTAAATTTGATTTCAAAACTTACTCGCCAATTGATCGAGCTAATTGACACCAATCACGTCGAACAATATCCAAACCTTTTAATTCTGTTTTATAGATAAATTCTTGTGTTGGTGTTTTTTCAACAATTAAAGCCGCATATTTTTTCTTCTTAAGTAATAACATACATTTAAATACACCATCAATACCAATTTCAATATGTTTATATTGACGATTAATTTCATTTCGAATCTAAAAACAAAATTATACATATAGCATATCAAGATTTTAATTTAATGAAGAATATTAATATGTCGTACGATACATATTGGAGTTTATAATAGCGAGAATTGAATAAGTCAATAATAGTACGTTTCAAAAATTAATTGTCTGAGCATGCAAAATCAATGTCGCTGAAACGGTAATGTATACTGTCGTTTCTTACAGTTTGCGATTTTAAATAGCTGAAAATTGACTTTTGGTAGGTGCAATATTACAACCATGTTATATCATACTGTACACAGTTGATAATTATTGTAATACTGCGCCTACTTAACGGCAAAAAGAAATATTTAATATTATCTGCAATTTCATTTTCGACATGACATTTTTCTATTTCAATTTTTTAATTCTGAATTGAAAAGATGTGAAATTCGAATGGCTCATAAACAAACATTACCTTTGTTCCAATAGCCATAACTTGATCATAATCAGTTGAATTTGTATTAATCATAATACTATCTGTATCACCATAAATAACATCAAAATTCATCTATAAATATTTGAATATATATATATGTCTTGTCTTACAATTAAATATTAACATACTCGTTCAACAATATTTTTTGCTTGCATTAGAGTCTAAACAATTGCATTGATAATTTTCTCTATGTGTTTTTAATTAAAATGACAAATATTCTTTTTAACTTACTTCTCGACCTTTACATGTAATAAAAGCAGCAAGTTGTTTACAATAAAATCTTGAATGTTTAAAACCTAAACAACCATATAAACTATTTGCTGTTAATTTATATGCTTTTTGACGAATATCATACTAGACAAGAAACATAAAATAATCTTATAATAAGACAAAAAAGAAATTTCTATATTAAATCATACTTGAACAAGTTGTTCATCAGTTAAATTCTTTTTTTCTTTTATTAATTTTTTAACTTCACGACGACGTTCAACAAGTTTATAAATTTCTAATGGTAAAATACCTTTTGTTGTTTCATCAAGAGCAATAATGTCATCAACATCAATTTGTTCTTGTTCAGTATTATTATTATTCTAAGCAAAAAAAAAAATTATTTTTATAAAGATATTAAAGTAAGAAAAATAAAAAACAACAACTAACTGGACGTGATTGTGTTGGTTTTTTCATATAGGTTGTAAAACAAACATTAAATTCTTGAATAATTGATGGATATAAACTATTGAAATCAAGTAAGAGTATAAAATGATCATAAAAGCCTTTCTTTGGAGCTAAAACAAGACCTCCAATATAAGATGTTGAAGAAGGTTTCGTTGTTTTTTTATTTTCATCATCAATTTCTTCATCTGATTCATTATGAATCTACAAAAATCATGAATTTTTGTTTTTATTTAAAAATAAAAAATATTTTCATTTTATTTACTTCTTGTGTATGTTTGAGTGCTGTTCGATGACTTGAACTTAGACTTCTTTCTGGTACAATATAATCTCGTTCAGTAAATGCATGTAATAATAAATGATCATTTCTTTCTGATCGACCACCCATTAACGTTCGACTCTATTTAACAAAAAATTAATTCGAATTTCTTTGGAATGGAGAAATAATAGTCTTACTAATAAATTTCCAGCAATACATGTTAATTGATAAGCAAGAGGTAAAACCATTAATTGACAAAAGATATTTAATATTAATGATGTATTATTTAATGTTGCTTGTACAAGATCAACAACTGACATTGATGAACTATAAATAATTGAATAAATTGAAGTATTATAAAAGAAAAGTTTAATAAATTGAATTTGAAATTCTTTTGTTTAGAACAAAAATTCAATAAATGAAAGTAATTTCCATATTTTTGACCTCATCGTTTAAAGTTAATAAACATGATGAAGACCTATGCAACATAAGACTTCTATCAACCATAGATCTTATTATTTTCTGTATTCGGTTGATACGCAAAAAAACTTATTAGAGTTCGTTCTAAAGACTCAATCTACTATGTATCACTTCATCGAACCAAACTTTCAAGTATCTACTATAATGTTATTATGAAAATCTAAAAATTTCAGCCATTAATAGCTCATAAAATCAAGACTTTTTTTTTTTTATTGAATGGTAAGTCTTTAATCATTTACCTAAACGCATCTCGTGTTTGATCAATTGAATAATTTCTATAAAGTTGTAGTTGTTCAGTATTTAAAACTACTTTACATAATTCTTCAAGATCATATGATTTACATTTTGTTAATAATTCTCGTGCTGATATTGATATATCACATAAAAGACGACCACATGTTGGATTTTTAATTGTTGAAACCTATAAAATATACATGTTTTATTTACATTAATCGAATATCTAAGAAAAAATAATTTACTTTTGTTTTTCCATCATGTGTTCGATGAAGACGACCAATTTTTGATGCTGTTAAACCAACTTTTAATTTTTGACAACGTGATAAAAATAATTCCAAACCAAACATACGCATATCATGACCCTTTATGAATTAATGTTAATAAGTTTTATTGAAAATTTTTGGTTTTTTTGATTACTTACAATGATAACATCAGGATCTAATAATTGAAATTTTGAAATTAAATACATAAGTAATGCTCGTTCACCAGGTACAGTTTCAATTTTAATTTTCTAAAAGAAAAATAAAACAGAAAAGATTATTTAATATTTATTTTAATATTTTAAATTCAAACTTGAGATTCAGCTGCCTTAACAAGACCAGATGGAAGAATACAATCACTTGGTTTAGTCAATGCTAAATAATAATTGAAAGGTTTTTTGTTTTTATTCAAAAATCAGTAAGAAAAAACAAACTAACCAATAAAATAATTTTGATAAGGACGTTTTGGTGCTGCACTATCAATTGGAAATTGTTGATGAACAAGACCAGCAACGCAAATAACCTAAGTTAATTAATGAATTAAATTTTAAAAAAAAAAAATCTTTTTCATCTTACTTCAGTTTCATGAGTTTTTGTATTTGGTAATGTAACTAATGATAATGTTACAGCCACCAACGGTGGTGGTGGTGGATTTATTGTACTAATTTCGATATTCGTCATTAGACGATCGGCTCCACTATAATAATCTACATCATATTCAAGTTTACACCAACTTCGTCGAGTCTTTACTGGTGCTAAAAGAGAAAAATTTGTTTTTGTCGTCTTGTATTTATTCATCAATTAAAACTATATACCACAATTTTTTATATTTAACCAACATGGTCCTTTAAGTTTTTTATCCATTAATAGATATTCTAAAGGCGATTGATTTGTACCATAAACACATTGAAATGAATCTCCTTGTAAATCACTAGGTAATGATGTACAACGAGCCTATAATTATAATAAATAAGATTTCGAAATTACAAAGAAAATATATATATATTACTGGATATTTCATTTCAACAATATCGATTTCATTAAGTACATCAGTAGAAATTAAATCAGGATCAAAACGTCGTTTTTTTACAATCTAAAATTTGAAATTAACTATAAGAAAAAAACGTAATTTCGTTTTTTTTTTTATTTACCGATGATGTGTAATTTGTTATTTTAAATCGTTTGGCAATTATAAATAATTCATCTTCAACGTCGGATGCTGAATTCTATTAATATCAAAACAAAACCAAGATTAAAATTCAATTTGAACTATCCCACGAAAGTATTGGTACAAAAAATTCGCTCATTTTTTCGGCTACTAAACGACAACTAGTTGGAGGAAATAACTATCATTGAATTTCGTGAAAAAGGACAAAGCAAAATAGCCGTTTTGGTGCAGTCCTCAGTTGGTCTTAGAACAACTTCAACTTAATATTATTGTAGAATACTAAATTTTGTATAGAATAGGATATTGTGATAAACGAAATCATGAAAGAACTAGCTTCTAAGATCGTTATTTCAAAAACTGATTGTAAAAATAAATAAGTTTTAAAATCTGTCATCCAAAATTAAATTGAACACTTCGTAGAGCAAACAAATTTGACCGAAATAGTATTCCTGACGATCATCATTTGTGGACCTTTTGATACAATCTATTTACTGCTTTCGGCTCTAACCAGTTGTCTTTTAGTAGATGAAAAATGAGTGCCCAGACTTTTGTGCCATAGGTTAAAAAAAAAATAAAAGAATCTTACTCCAGTTTTTGGTATAAAGAAGACTTGTTTTGGAATATTATCAATAATTAAACAAACACTAACAAATGTTTTACTTGTAGATTTATCATCATTTAACAATGGTGTTTTACCAAAAATAAAAAGTTTACCTAAGCAAAAAAAAAAAACGAAAAATTTATTTGTTTGTTTTTTTCATATTAAAGTCTAAAATTTCTTTTTTTTACCCGGTTGAGCAACTGGATCTTCGTAAGCATCAAACCAAAAAATTTTAAAATGTTCATCTTTATTCAAAATTTCGTTTTGATCAATTTCTTTTGTTGGTGATGTATGAAATGTTCGAGCTGATTTAACTAATTGTTCATCGGTAACAAATTCAAGTTCTTGTGTATCAAATTGAATTAAAGATTTTGATATTGGAGGTGGTGATGGATGTTTTATTGGTGGAACTGTATCATTCATTAATTTTGATACAGCATCAAAACATATACTATCATCATCACCCCAATCAAGTTCTTTTTCTTGATGTAATGAATGATTGGAATTATGTGTTGGTAATGATGGTGTTGGTAGTACTGATGGTGTTGAAATTTGTTCAGGACGAGAGATTTCAACTGATTTATATTCGATTTTGGCAGGTTGTGGTGGTGGTGCTGCTGCTGCTGGTGTTGGGCGAGTTGTTTTTAGTTTGGGTTTTTGTAATTCAAACATAATATCGGAAAGTAATTTATCGGATTCATCTTTTTGATTCTAAGAGAAAAAAAAAAATCGTTTTTCGTTTTTTTCCTTTGCATTTATTTAAATACTTGTTCTTGTCGTTGAACATTTCGTGTTTTACTTGCAGCAAACATTGATTTAATATCATGCATGCCTGTAGATTCTTCTTGAGGTTTAGCAAAGACTTGAGCACGACGTTTTTGTTCAGAAGCATTTGTTTGCTGTTCATCCTCATCATCATGATCAGAATAATGCTGTTTTTTCTTTAATCCTAGAAATTTTCAAGAAAGGAAAAAGAGATCGAGAGAGAAAGTTCAAATTGATTTATTAATTATTGGTACAAACTTTTTGAATCTTTTTGATGAGAATTACTAGATTTACGTTTAGTAGATGATTTTATATCTTCATAATTTTCAGAATCACTTCCATAATCATCATCATCCTCTTCTTCTTCATCCGATTCATTTGTTGTTGCTGGCTAAAGGTTTAAATTAATTGTCATTTGAATTTAAATATAGTGAAAAAAGAGGAAACAATTTGCTTTTTACTTGTTCAATAATTGCACTTGAACCACCTTGTCTTGCTCGTTTTAATTGTTCCAATGCACTTTCACGTTCTAAATCATTTCCTCTCGTTTTAATTTGCCTGCGAGCTCCTATTTAAGAAAATAGAAAATACAATAAAAATTGTATGCATCCACTACTATTGATAACTTCTTAGAGTTTTCCAATACAATACAGAGAAGGAAGAATTTCATATACTCGCATCTTTATTGCTTTGAAAGAATTAAATTTAGTTGAAATAGAAAGCTTTTCAAGTGCAATAGCAATTAATAAAGATTTGGAAATTAATAGAACGATCTGTCAACTTGTTTCGACGAAACTGAGCAAAATGAATAAAACAGTCTTGTTGAGCAATGAGAATCGACCAAAATCAATATTAATTATACCTGTTTTTTTTTTATCTATATAAACAAATATGATTTTTATCAAATCCAAGCACATCTTCTGAAACTGCTTGGATTAGAATCTTGAAACAGGACAACAGATCTACGTTTTCTCTTTCCTAAACAACGTTATTGACATTTGATTGCTAGGCCATTTATGAACGTGATTCCTTCACCAAATCTTTTCTTTTTTCGAAAGCCGTTCCTTTATATTTTTCAAATTTTCTTTTTTTTCCTACTTTTTCGAACAAGACTTAAACTTGATGTCCATTGTTAGTGATTCAATCACGATCCTATATTATACAAGAACCTTGAAATCTAATGAAAATTCCAAATTCTACAGAATTATTTGAGTTAGATATATTGTGAAATTTTCAACCAAAGAAAAAAATACGATCGATGCTATACTGTCTTGTGAGAAAATTAATTTACCAAAAAATTTATCTTACATCATAACTCGTTAAAACAACAAAAGATCGAAGCAAAGATATCGTCTCTAAACATATTTTATTAGATAATACATTTAGAAAATTCCAATTGGCAAGCATAATCCAATGAATTTGTAAATTTAAACTTACTATCTGACGACATAATTAATTACAAAATCTACAAGAAACAAAAAAAAAAGAATATAGAATTAATCATAAAATTCGTTTCTATTGATTTTTTCTCGATTAATATATAGTAGAATAGATAAGTGAATGTGAGAATAAAAAAAGCCGCCAATCGATGGGCAACAAAAATCACAGTAGGTGATGACAACAGGAATGATAATAGTTCTACACAAAAACACAACAAACGATTTTTTTTTTGCCTCTTAACACTGAAATACAACATAAGATTAAATATATTTATATATATATATAATTTTCTTTCTAATATTATTGCGCGATATAAATGACCGGTAAAAAAAAAAAGATGTATATTGCACGATAAAAGGAAAAACGAATTTATTATTAAGTGTTTGAGATCATTGCAAAAATCTTGATTAAAATTGATCTTCAAGTAATTCAACTAATCGTTTAGCAACACCTTCTTTACTTGCTCGAATTGTTAAACGATACATCTAATCAATAAAATAAAATAACAAAATATAAATTCTAAGTAACAAAAATTTACTTTCGCTTGTTTATTTGGTTCAAGTCGATAAAGACAACCAATTTGTTGTGATACTGTATGAATAATACCTGCACCACAAAAATTCTCTGCATTAACATCAATACCAACTAAACTAGTCCAACCGAAGCCTTCAAGCTAAATGAAAAACAAAAATGTTTCATTTAATGATGATATAATACAAAAAAAAAGTATAAATATACTTTTTGACGGCAATCATCATATATCATTGGAAATTTAGCTGGAAAAATTTTCTGACATTCTTGATTTGCTCTATAGAAAAACAAAAATTTCATAAGATGAATATTTTCTGTTTGAGAATAGAAAAAAAGTGTAAATCATTACTTTTCAAGATTTCTCCATCGTAGAAAAAAATTATTTGAATCCATTTCAGCTTTTTCAATATATTTATTTAGATATAATGGAAATAAATAATCCACTTTTTGTGGTATATTATTATAACTAAAAAACAAAAAGCAAATAATCATAAGTTTTTCTTGAATTTATCTAACTGAAAAAATTAATTTACTAAAATGTGATATTCATTTTTGGTAAATCATAAAAATCTTTTATACAATCAATTGTTCCAATTTGTTTTAGTTGTGCTCCAGAATCAATTGCTGTTTTAATTGGTTCCATATTAATTCGAAGTTCTATACATGAAAAAAAGAAGAATATTTTTTAAAATATACAAAAAAAAAGAATTTAACCTGATTCTAAATCTCCTGAGAGAAAAATATTTGTTGAAAAATTTGATAAATTAAAATTTGTTTTATTTCCATAATAAAATTCAATATGCATGGAACTTTTCATTGATTCACCTTTAACACCAACTTGAATCAATTCATTTTCAAATATAATATCACTATTTTTAAATAAGAATTTTTTGTTTGATTGAACTGTTGATGTGAAAGATTTTGTTATTGAAGAGAATGAATTTGATGTTGATTCTTCATAATGACCATTTGATTCAGGAATATCAAGAGATACAAGAAGGCCATTTTGTTGTTGTTGCTGTTGTTGTTGATTAAGATGCATCTCGAAAAAGAAAATAATGCGAAGTTTTCAAAAATAATAGTTTAAAAAAAATGTTATTACAGCTGTTTCAGCAAATTTTGGACCATCATCTGTATGTGCAGCTTCTGTTGTTGTTGTTGACGATGATGCTTCAGTAACACCTTCAGATTCCATTAATGGTTTCTTTTGTTTAAGGCGAGCAAGTAATGGTGATTGTTTTTCTGGATAAGGTGGCATTATTTCAAGAACAGTAGCTAATACAGTTGGATTACATATTTCACTTAGTTTAAGATATTCAATTGCACGCTGTTGAATTTCAACATCAGAACTACGATAATTTGAATCATGACGAAGAATCTAGATGAAGAACACAAACAACAAAATTTTCAATCAATTTTCAAAAGATTTTAGCGTTTCTGTTGATCAAAATTATTCTAAACAGTAGATTTTATGGATTATAAAGTTTTAGAATCTCTTTTTTTACTCCTATGATTTAGTATTATATTGAATATTCGACAAAATCCAACTTAATACTTCTACATGGTATTAAAAGATTAACATTAATTTAATGACTGGAGCTCTGATAAAATGCAAAATGACTAATCTATTCCAAGCGTATGTCGTATTACCTTCAGAAACAACAATTATGTTTGATCGGATTATCTAGTAGCGAAGGCAGAAGATGACTTAGCTTCCTTCAGAAATGCGACGTTGCTATATTGTAGAAAAAGAATATACTTCCTTTTCAACTTCAAAAAAAAAGCTGAATCCTCATGTCTACCTACAGATTACGTCTGACGACTCCAGCATTAGGAAACTGCTAGAAATATTTGATTTTAGACTATTTTTGGTCTCAAACTTAGTAATTTTAATTCACAATATTATCTGCATAAAGTAGAAGAATATTCTGTAGTTTAAAAGTAAAAAATTTATAATTTGTTAATACATACATCTTGAATATGATGTTTGATTTCCGGAAATAGATTAACAAATTTCATATAAGTCGATAAAATTAAACAACGAGTTGTTGGCGAACATAAATGATATTTTGAATGAAGTAAATCAAATTGAACCATCGGTCTATAAGTACACACATATACATTAATAAAATCTTTAAATTTTCTTGTTTCTCCTACGTTGATCTTGGATCAAGTGCAATTAAATTTCCATATTCTCCAAGAATATAACCAGCTACTTTAACCATATTTTCATGACAAGCCGGTGCTTGAAGTGCTTCAAATGCAATCTTCGCTGCATAACTTTGTACATCATTTCGATTAACCACAACTTGTATAACACGATACCAAACCTAACGAAGAAAATTTCCTTTTTTTTTCTAAGCAAAAGAAAAAATCATTACTTCTTCCGAAACAAAATCTCCAGCGATACGAATTAATTTAAGCATTATATCTAAATACCATTTATAATCAATAGCATATTTCTCACTAAGTATAGCTATTTTAAGAACCTAAAAAATAAGAAAATCAAAAATAAATTAATTTATATAAAAAACTTTAACCATTTCTTCTCGAATTGTATAATCAGCTGTTTCAAGATATGTTAACATTTCTTGCACAATATCTTGAGCATTTGAACGATCGCACATTGCATATAAAAGATCAACCGCACGTTGACGAACACTAACATCACGTTCACTCTATAATAAAAATTAATTAATAAAATTATTATTAGTTTTTGTTTTTATTATTTTCATTCTTACTTTTAATGCATTAATCACTGTTTCTTGATGTTTTTTAACTGCTTCATGTGAAAATTCAGATGTTGCTAATAAACACATACTTTCCAAAGCAAGATATCGAAGATTTGTTTCACGATTTTGTAAAAATTGACCAAGTTGATTACATGCACGTACAAGTAAACTTGATTCACAATCCATATGAATTATTAAATTAATAGCTTCAAATAAAACAGCATTACGTGCATTAGAATGTTGAACTTTTTTTGATTTCAATGGTTCTTGAGCTTTATTAAGTATTGTATCAAGACATTCATTTAAACGACTTCGAATTGATGGATCATCTAATACAAAAATCAAATTGTTTTTTTTTTTTTCTTCTACTACAAAAAAGTTTTTTGTATTTAAAATACCTGGTGGAGGATAATTTTGTAATAAACGTAATAATTTAACACAAAGCCAAGGAGCAGGAACAAAATAATAAGTATAATCTTGAAAATCAGTATACGACGAGGTGACAATCTACATAAAGTTAAATATTTAATGTTGCAATCATATGTTTAGTTTGTTCAACTTTACAAAAATCTACAGATCCAAAAAGTAAGAAATCTTGTCTCCGATCAAGTGAAAATTTAGAGAACATGTTTATATGATAATCAGTATTAATTTGTATGACTAATGAATTGAATAATATCATACTACCAACGATAAAATACTTAGGAATGATATTTTTGATGGATACTTCCATTGAGTAGTGAACCGTGATAAACACAAAGTTTTCAGAAGGTTTTTTTCGTCTGTAGAGCTCATTGCAATACTTATTTTGGTTAAAAAATGAAATTCAAATTTATTCAATAATCTTTTTGCTAGGGTCAAAATACTCGAAAACGTTAATTAACACTCAACATCAGTCAGGAATAACAAAACTTTTTGGCTATTTTGGTCCTAGCATCATAATTTATTGAGTAAATTTGAATATCTATTATTTCCTAGAATCATCAGTACAACGAATTCTACAGACGAAAAAATCTTCTGAGAATTTTATGATGTTTTGAGTTGTTATATAAATAAAAACGAACTAAAATCTTAGTTTATAGAGCAAAAAATTCGCTTTCATTGAAATTCGTCGATCATGTATAAATGTAAATATAATTAATAAAACATAGGGCAATATCTATGACGGTTTGATGTCGTTTAGCTTTATAATTAGATAATGAATGGGATTTATACGAAAGTTTGAAAGAGTTAAGAATCAGAATTCTTCTATTCTGACATTGATGTTGTATATTCTATTATGATAAACATTATTTCTCGTCATAATGATTATATCTTTTTCTCATTATACTATAAGAATCATCTATCAATAGAGCAACATCTCAAGAAAGAAAAATATAAGACTTCTTGCAATCAAATGAATCTATCTTGAGAGAATGTCAAGGATAAATTTTAAACACTTCTAGGCGTTCTTTTATCTCGGCAAGATCTAATTATGGTTCAATGATGTTTAACAATTGAGCATCTACATTCATTAAAACATAATCTTCGAAACTTTTTCTCTATTTATTAAAAAACAGCATACCCGACTTAAACGAGATACAGCTAAATTAATACATCCTTTATATTCATCAGGACTTCGTTTAACCAATGCATCAATTAAACTAACAGCTGCTGTAGCTACACCCTAAAAAACAAAAGATACAAAGGAATTTTCCTAATAAATAAATCGTAAAAATTTTCTTACTAAATGTTGATCATTCAGTAAATGAATTATTCTCGCTGTCCATTCTGTATTTAATTGTAATGATTCTGGACTTGTACGATGAAGTCTTAATAAACAAAGTGCAGCTGATTGTTTTACTGAATCTAATGTATCTCTACACATAACGAAAAGAAAAAAACCGAAATAAAAAATTTTCATTAAATAAGTTAATAAATTCAAACCCTGAAATAAGTAAACGTGGAATATCATTTGTAAATGCAATAGCCATTTCTTTATCTCCAATATTTGCAACACATTGTAATGCTAAATTAATAAATATTGGATTTCGACTTTGTAAATCATTTCGAATATTTTGAATAATTAATTGTTTCATTTCGGTACTTGAATTCATAATAACAGAAATAAATAAATAACCCTAGAGAAAAAGAAAAACTTAACTTTATAATACAAGTTAAAATGAATTTTTTCTTTTAATACAAACAATTTGTTTTTCTGTGTATTTATTTGAACTTAATAAATTAACTGCTTCCATATAACCAAAATCAATATCATGACCAAGTAAAAATATAAATAATAATTTACATACATATTTTTTCTTTTGATATCCATCCAAAGTTTTATCAGCTGAAAAAAAAATAAATATATCAAGAAGAATTTTACTTTATTTTGATCAAAAAAAAAAGTCTAAAAACCTCGAAATCGTTGTCGAATATTCGTTAATTCTTTATTGATACGTCGTAATTCTGCTTCACGACTTTTACCTAATGAAAAGCAAATTAACTTAACATAAATTTCTATATTATTCAATTTAAAAACATTACAATTTCGAATATCCGATATAAAAACAGCTAAGCCACGCATTGCATCGCCCCGCATTGTTGGCATCTTGAATAAATTTTAATGAATGAAATCTTATAAAGCTAAAAAAACAAACAAAGAGAGAATGAATATTTATTGTCGTATGATTGGTTACGATTACAGTGACNAGAAAACAAAAACAAAGCACTACGAACGAAAAACGCTCTTTTATTGATAAAAGAAAGAGTAAAGAAGATTAATCACTGTTTTTCGCTCATTATATATCTATTGATCTAATGTCATTTGCATTCGATTTAATTCATCTTCCTTTTTGATAAAATCGAAAACATCTTTAGTCTATTTTCTTTTTATAGATATTTATTTATTACTTTAGCTTTAAGTTGTTCTTGTAAACGATCAAGTATCATTTCACGTTTAGCACGCATTTGTGTTTCTGATCTTAATTCATCTTTTGCCTAGAAAATAAAATTTTTATTAATCATTTACATGATTGATGCATTAGCACTACAAAGCATAGCAATTGCTTTTCCTAAATAGAATTTCAAGAAGCTATAGAAAACTTATTGTTTTCTGAATTTTCTATGCTTCCTAAGTTTTGTTAATCGACATTTTGATTATTTTGAACTCTCTTCTGCTGTTATCAGTGATCTTTAAAGTTTACTATTGGATCAGTACGAATATAATAATCGTAAATCGGCTTCCATCTTTCTAAGACTGACCATATGATGTTTGATGACTTTGATCAAAAGAAATGAAGTTCAATCAATAGATATATAATGAGCGAAAAACAGTGATTAATCTTCTTTACTCTTTCTTTTATCAATAAAAGTGCGTTTTTCGTTCGTAGTGCTTTGTTTTTGTTTTCTTTTTAACGAAATTTACAATTTAGATTTTTAAAATGAAACAACAAACTTATCTATTACTTCGAAATTAGAGAGAAGATCAACTGAATGCTACCAATAAATTGTTAGACAATCTGAAAGACATTACCTCTATTGTCTCAGCTGATCGTTACATCTATAATTTTTTTCAATAAAAAAAAAAATAGTTGTTCAAATTTCAAATAAACTTTTACTTGAATATCAAGACGAGAACGCAACAGTTCGTAAACAAACAGTAATTTCAAAAAACAAAATTAAGTTTTTCCTAAACTATTTTGAGTAAAACTTTTGTTCAATAAAAAGTGTTACACTAATTTGAAGCTCGTAATGCCTTGTTAAATAATGCAATACTTAAGCTTCCATCTATCATGTCTTCGAGAAAAATGAAATCGTTTGCCTCATTTATTTATTTAATTTTTACCGAATGTAAAGCATTTTCTAAATTCGTTACTCGAGATGTAAGTATATCATTGCATAAATCTTCTGTATTTTCCTAAAAGAAAATTAAATAAAACAAAAAAAGAAAATTTTTTTTTTAAGAATCTTACATTTGATACAGCATCCATCCATGTTTGTATCCATTGTTTTTGTTCATCATTTAAATCTTCACATTCATTTAATTGTTGAAAACAAACATATGCTGTTTGAATTAAACGACGTGAATTATCAATACTATTGAATCCACTAAATAAAAAATTAATAATAATATTTTTATTAATTTAAAACTAAAGAAAATTATTTATATTTTTTACGCTGATCGTCGACTATTACTAGATTGTCCATCACGTGATATAATTGTTCGTTGTCGTTCTAATTCTTCTCGTAAATGCTATAAAATATTTAAATCAAAGAAAGAAAACAAACAAAGTTGTATTGAAAATGCTTTATTAGAATTTATTTACGGTAATTTCACTTTGCATTTCAATAAAACGTTGAGCATTTGGATCGACATTTTTTATAGGTTTATTTCGAATTTGACTTGCCTTTAAAAAAAGAAAACATATTAATTCGAATAAATTATATTCGATCATACTCGATGTGCATATTTAAGTGCATTAAGAGATTCATCAAGATCAGCCGTACATGGACTAACACCTGAAAAATAATTTAATAATGATTCTTTTAAATGATGTTTTCTGTATTGTTTTTTTTTTTTCTTTACATGTAATCATTAATGTTTTAGCATTTCCACCAAGTGAATCTTTGAGTAAACGAGTAATTTTTGAATCACGATAAGGTATATGACCACCGGTACGTTTTTTTGGATCAGATAAAGCGCTGACAACATTTCCCAGAGCCAATAAACCTGAATTAATACGTATTGATTCTTGAAAACGTTCACCTGTATTTTGTGTACGTGCAACACGTTCTGATCCAGCCAAATCAACAAAATGAAGTTTAGCAGAAAGATAACTTTCTACAACAGCAAGAAAATAGAAAAAAAATAAGAATCCTCTATTATTTTTATTTCAAATGTTTTACCGTCAAACGTTGATTCTAATGGTTTAACAAGACCATCAAATGAAGCTTGTACAGTATTTGCATGAGAATTTTTATCATGAAGACGTTGTTCTAAAGAAAAAAAAAATTTATAAAAAAAAATTTTTTCTTTTTATTGAATAAAGTTCATACCAATATATAAAGTAAAAATAGCATGTGATCTAGATGATTCATCATTCATTTGTGTTGCACCAGTATGTCTAACATTGGAACCTTTTTTTAATAAACTAACAACATCATCAATTGAATGACATGTATGTTCACTTGCTCCAATAACAACTAAAAATATACTTAATTAAATATTATTGTATTAAGACAAAAAGCAAACAACACAAAAATTAGATTATATTTACCTGTATTTCCAGCTGCATCATCTCGAACATCTAAATCTTTATCATTAACATCAAGTAAATCAATAATATCATCTTTATAGATTTCTAAATAAGATGCTGATATTGTTATTCGACAATCATGTCGATTCTAAAATAAAATATTTATTTTTACTGTTATATGTCTTTTAAATTAATTAACTAACTTGAACAGTATCAAATATTGTTTTAACAGCTCGTGGAACAATTCCATAATCTTTTTCTCCAATTGATAAAATATTTCCACCTGTCATTGTATATGTTTTTCCTGAACCCTAATTTTATAGATAAATAATTTAATAGATAGTTAATATAAAATGTATTATATTACAGTTTGACCATAAGCAAAAATTGTAACATTATATCCATCAAAAACATTATTAAGCATTGGTTCAACACTAGTTCGATATAATTCTTCCTATAAAAGAAAAATTAACAAACTATAGATTCGAATAGTTATACTTGACTTGACTGGCCTAATTCTAACTTTTTCATCTTATTTAACTAAGACTGAACGGTACTAAAGACATATGTAACCTCGAAACATTTACAGATAATCATAGCGCAGTGAAGTAATATCTTCTTAAAAACGAATACTGTTTGAAATTGTTTCAAAAATAAATGCACCGATAAAATGTATTCAAAAAATTAGAAAACTTTTATTAACTCTAGAAGTTTAAGTCTCATTCTCTTCTTACCTGTAGAGTTTTAGGTCCGAAGACAAAATCATATTTAAATGTTCGTCTATCGCCTAATACAATTTGATTAGTTTGTGGATGAATTGCAATACAACTTTTTTGTTCATGTGATTTTTCTCGTTGTAAAAATGGTCGAACCTAAAAAAAATGAATTTTTGTTGTTTTTTTTTTTGCAAATGAACAAAATAATTCATTTTAATTTAACTTACACGAACAGCTACTTTAACACGAAATTCTGATTCGTTAGCAAGCATTTTCATTTCATCTACAAGTTTATTTTGAAAGAAAAGAGAGAAAAAAAGTATGATTAGAGAAAAAAATCGATAAAATTATATTTGAAAAAAATATCATCTTTTTCTTTTTTTTATTGTCCACGTTCTCCATTTTCATATTTTTGTAATTTTTCTTTTAATATTTCATTTTCTCGTACTAAATCATCAAGTTTTTCACGCATAGCCATTATTTCAGTTTTTACTGTTTCTATTTCAGCTGAATCAGGTCCACTTGCACCCATAAATCGTCGTACAAATTCTGTTGCATTATTTGGTTTTTCAGCTTCTTCATAGAGAGCAACTAAAGCTCCTAGAAAAATAATATAAAATCATAACCATATCTATAAAATTTAACGGACAAACGCACGTGTAAGAGCATCAACAACACCACCTTTTTCAAGATAACGACGAAATTCTTCTCGTTTTGATTCATTGGGACGATAAGTTGATGTCATTGTTCAGCTATGACTTAGGTAAAACTGTAAAAAATAAATTATAGAGAAAAAAAAAACTTCTTCCAATTGACAAGCATTAAGTTTGTGAGTTGCTTAGCAACTACATCTATATGACTCATTTGAATCAATCATCACGTTAATGCATTTTATTGATATTTCAATGTATTAATCGAATAAGATAAAGAAAATAAATAATTTTTAGTTTCAAGCATAATAATTAAGTTTTATTTATTATTTAATAAAAAGATTCAAATGAACCCATTCCATATTTTACCATAATGAGCCAATCATAGATTTCAGTTCGATTATTAGTATAACGAAATTTACTTGATGAAAAATGTGATATTGTTTTTCTAGATCGATTTTTTTTTCCATCTCGATATTATTCGATCATGCGTCCCATCAAAGCTCGTGAACAACTCAGCGTACCAGATGACGGTATATTTTTTTTTTCTTTATTCGAAAAAGTAGATTTTCGTGTTTTTTTTTCTTCGAAATTTAGTTAAAGTCAGTGTAAAAAGTCGTGTTGTTCAAGTAGAAGGCAAACGAGGCAAACTTGTACGAAGTTTTCGTCATGCTCGTGTTGATATATCAATGCCAAAAAAGAAGTTACTTGTTGTCGAAAAATGGTTCGGTACAAATAAGGAAAATGCTGTTGTGCGTACTATTTGTTCGCATATTAACAATATGATTAAAGGTGTTACTAAGGTTAGTTTAAAATATGATTTCTTCTAATTAAAAGAATTACATTAAACTTTTAAAGATTGATTAAAATACGCTTAGACTTAGACGCAAAAGATATTAGATCTATGATATTAAAAGTGTACAAGCACATATTTCGAATTAAGAAAAAAAACAATAATTTTGATTCTTTTATTTTTAGGGTTATTGTTACAAAATGCGTTCAGTATACGCTCACTTTCCAATCAATACTGTTGTTACTGAAAATGGTCAAGCAGTTGAAATTCGTAACTTTTTAGGTGAAAAATTTGTTCGTCGTGTTAAAATGCAACCAGGTGTTAAAATATCTGCTAGTACAAAACAAAAAGATGAACTTGTTTTAGAAGGCAACGATCTCGAACTTGTATCACGATCAGGTAAATCGGGTTTTGTTATTCTAAATTTATATTGTTTTTCCTTATTTAAAACCATTTTTAGCTGCACTTATTCAAATGTCAACAGCAGTGAAAAATAAAGATATTCGTAAATTTCTTGACGGTATCTATGTCAGCGAAAAAGTAACCGCCGATGAAGCTTAAATATATAACGTGCACTTGTTTTTATAATCATTAAATTCACATTGTTTTTTTTTGTGTGTATTTATATGCGCGTTATATAATAAACAACAAAAAGAATTTGAAAGATCAAGAAAACAAAAAAGAATCAAATTTGTTTTTTTCTTTTCTTCTTAGTTTCGTTTTTACTTCAGACAAATAACATGTTATCTGTGTAAAAAAAAGAATCCATTGCGATGAACGATCCTTCTCCTGATCTAATAAAAGATGCAAATATTCATCATCAGTTAAATGCAAGTCATCTTTCTTATAAAGAACTTTTTCGTCGTCTTGATAAAAATCAAGAAGGTCGAATTGAGGTCGATGAACTAATTGAATTATTAGAAAAAGTTGGTGTTGAAACTTCAACAAAAAAACGTTGGACCATAGCACGTGTAAGTATTTCTTTTCCTCTCATAGGATAAAGTAATTTCAATTTTGTTTTTGTTCATAGCGTATTATTGATCAGGCCGGTGGATTACCAACAGCATCTTCTCTTTCATTTAAACAATTTGCTAATTATGTTTTAGAACAAGAAAAAAAACTCTGTCTCGTGTTTAGAAAATTAGATGCTAGTCATCAAGGTAAGTAATGAAAACAATGCAAAATAAAAATAAAACAAGAAGAAAGATTTTTATTTTATGTGAAATTTCATTTCTATTTAGGAAAATTTGATGCAAAAGATTTAGTTTATTATTTTCAAAAACTTGGTATTAAACTTGATTTAGACGAAGCAAAAAGATTAGTTGGAAAGTAAATAGAAATATTTTTGAGATCTTCGTTAAAATAAATAAAGTCTTTTGTTTAGAATGGACCAAAACAATTCTTTAGAAATTTCTTATGACGAATGGCGTTCTTTTTTCATGGTTTATCCTGCCATACTTGAAAGTGTTACTGGCGATCCACATGAAATGTTAAGATATTGGCGTGGAGCAACGGTTTGTTATTGATTTTTTTCGGCAAAAAAGAAAACAACTTATTTTATTTTTATCTTTATTTTGTCTATTAGCATCTCGACTTAGGTGAATCATCATATGCTGTACCGGAAGATGAAGAAACTGAAGATAAACAATGGTGGAAACATCTTGTATCCGGTGGTTGCGCTGGTGCTTTATCACGAACTTGTACTGCTCCATTTGATCGCTTAAAAATCATCATGCAGGTATATAGTTTATAGAATATTTCACATGCACTTCCTTTTTCACCCGCTCTGATTATAAAAGATCGGTGAATATTGTTAGGTTTCTTAGTATTTGGGTTCAAGACAACGCATGTCTGTGATAAATAGTTATCGATATTTAATCAAAGAAGGTGGTTTTAGAAGTTTATGGCGTGGAAATGGAATGAATGTTCTCAAAATTATACCTGAAACAGCACTTCGATTTGCCTTTTTCGAAGAAGTAATATAATTTTTCTATGATATTAATTCTTTTCTTTTTATCATAATAGATTGATTATTCTTTTTTTCTGTAGACGAAAAAAGTTGTAAAAAAAATTCAAAACAAAGATCTAACAACAGAAACAACAATTGTTGAAAGATTTATATCTGGAGCTATTGCTGGTTTTCTTTCTCAAACAGCTGTTTATCCATTAGATGTAAATGTTTTTTCTTTTCTTTTCTTTTGTTTTTCCTTTTCTTTTCTTTTGTTTTTCTTATATTTGAAATTTAGGTCTTAAAAGTGCGACTATGTCTAAGACGAACAGGTGAATTCTCCAATTGGGTAGATGCTATTAAACGTATTTACAGATTGGAAGGTTCAAAAGCTTTTTGGCGTGGTTATGTTCTGAATCAAATTGGTATAGTGCCTTATGCTGGCTTTGATTTAGCATGTTATGAAGTGATTTTATCAATATTTCATATATTTTCTAAAAAATTTTCTATGAATATTTAGAGTCTTAAACGTCTCTATGTAACTACACATAATAATTGTGAAGCACCGATATATATAGTTCTTAGTTGTGGTGCTATTTCATCGTTTAGTGGTCAAATGGTAACTTATCCCATATCTCTATTGAGAATACGTCGTCAAGGACAAATTGTTCCATTACCACATATGGATCAAAGTAAAGCACATCCATTATTACCTGTTCCAACAATGATAAAGGAAATTTGGCATAAGGAAGGACTTGTTGGTTTCTATCGTGGTTTAATACCGAATTTATTAAAAGTTATTCCAGCTGTTTCAATATCATATTCAGTTTATGAAACGATTTTAAAAACTCTTTCAAATGAAAAACAGTAATTAGAAAAGAATTGTCTTTCGTTATACAATAGGTTAATTTCTTCGTATATCGAATAGTTGTTTGTTTTTTTTTTTTGGTTTGTTTCCTTTTTGTGAACATTTATTTATTTTTTTAATCATCCTAAAAGATGGCAAAAAAAATCAAGGCGAGTAATGAATTCTTTGCAGATGATTTATCAAAGACAATTAAGTTGTCTATTGAAAAAATGTTTGACTCAAATAACTTTATCATTTGTACGTCATGCAAGACCATTCAAAAAGAAATGGGTACGATTGAATGAGATATTTAATTCATAGAAAATCGGCTTTGTTTTTCTTATTCAAGATGTTTTCATCACATCATGGTTCACATTCAAATGAACTTGCTTTAGAATATTTTGATTTTGCTTATCCATTAATATTTCATCGTCATTGGCCATCTGTACGTCTTGCTTTACTTAGTTTACCTAAACCTGTTGCATTACTTAATCCATATTCACTTTCAAATAAAAATATTAAACAAAAATTAATTGAACAAGGTTCAATTGATATGTTAAGATTTTATAATGAAAAACTACGTGAAGATTTTAATTTAATTCAAGAACAAATTTCAAAAAGTGACCATGAATATGGAATAAAAAAATTACTTGAACAAAAAGAAAATCGAAGATTATTAGGTACAAGTGATTTAGTTGATGAACAAGAAGAAATAAATGAAGAAGTAGAAGAGGAAGAAGAAATTAATGAAGATGATGATATGAATACATTTAATCAACCGGAATCTGTTAAAAGACTTGATGAAATTTATAAACAAGCACTTGAACAACAGGTTACATTTTGAACAGTCACTTTCTATTCGGGTCAATCTTGGTCGTTAAAAATTCGTCCCATAAGACATTTTAATTATATTGAAACAAATATGAGGAATAGCACACAAGAACATAAAATGAAAAAAAATTGATAACTTAATAGTATGTTCTATTTTCATACATTATCTACAGTTGATAACAAGTTCATTATCAGTAAGAGTATCATTTGCATATTCTTTAAGATGAACTTCAAGCTTTGAAAAGTGTGACAGTTAGAGTTTGGTGGTTCCGGTTACCAAAAAGTGAGAAAAACACTGTTCCAGTTCTATTCTCCGAAATCTCACTTGAAATCGGAACTATTAAATCATTACACAGATACAAAAATATTAAACATATATTTTGAGAAATTTTCACTATTGAATAGTTGAGATTTATAGATGTCACATATTGCAGTACTTATACAAAACAATATTATACATATGTGAAAATCTTTAATCTCCAGAATGAAAAAATGAAAATTTCTCCACATCGATTTAATAATTTTAGTATATATTTGATTATTTAACAGTTTCGATACCAAGAAGTTTAAAAAAGTCGACTCCGGTTCCACTTTTTTTAGGATCACCGAACTCTAGCGACAGTTTATGATACCAGACGGGGAGCTATCATTTTGAATAATGAAAGTTTCACTAGTTTTTCTTTTTTTTCTTTCTATTAGGCTCAATCAGTTATTAAAGGAAATGTTGTTTCGATTGTTGATGATGATAAGGAACGAGATTATAGAAAAGTTCCTCCATCATGGCATGTTTATACTTTTCCACGTAGTAATATGTCAAGATTTGAACCAGCTAAAACTGATGAATTAGGTTTATTGGGTAAAAAAGCTTTTTTTTTTCCAAAAAGAAAAATTTCAGATTATTTATATTTGTCTTCTGTTTAGTTTAGATTATTACTGTATGGATGGAGCTTGTGTTCTTCCTGTTATAGCACTTGATGTTCAACCATTTCATTCCGTACTTGATTTATGTTCAGCACCAGGTGGAAAAGCATTAAATATTTTTCATATGTGTCCTTATAGTAAATCAATTTCGTTTCTTTCTTTTTCTTTTGTAAAATTTCTTCTTTTCGAAATAGTTCAATTAACATGTAACGATATTGATAATTCACGTTCAAGACGTTTACTTGGAGTTTTTACTCAAACTATACCAAAAGATATATTATCTAAACATATTAAATTTGTTAAAGGAGATGGATGTTTGTTTGGTGAAAGAGAACCAGCAAGTTTTGATCGAGTATGATATTTTAAGGATTATGTATTCGTTCATAATGAATGTTTGTTTAGGTACTTGTTGATGTTCCATGTACAAGTGATCGTCATGCTTTACTAACAGCATTTAATATATTCTCAAAGAAACGTATTCAAGAACGTGTTGAATTACCTGCATATCAACGAAAATTACTTGAGTATGTTGTTTCTTTTTAATCTGTTTGTCAAAGATTAAAAATACATTTTAAATAAGAAATATTTGCTATTGAAGATCTGCTATTCGAGCATGTAAACCAGGTGGTATTGTTGTTTATTCAACATGTACATTAGCTCCAGCTCAAAATGAAGGTGTAGTTGAACAAGCTATTGAAAATTTAGCATCAACAACATCAAATAAAAAATCTCGTGGATATAAAGGAAATAATCCAATCAAATGTGAAATTATTTCTACAAAATCATTAGAAAAACATTATTCTTATTTTTTTGATTTTCATGCTAAAACAAGTTATGGTAGTCTTGTTTTACCGCATATTTCAAATAATTTTGGTCCATTATATTTTTGTAAAATTCGAAGGATCAATTAAAAAATAAAATTAAACTTGCATGAACTTTATCAAATAAAACATTGAATCATACTCTTATGTCAATATATTAATTTTGTTTTATTGATCTGAAATATTTGTCTGCATGAATCAAATAAAATTCATATGAAAGGATAAAGTATTCATCAAACAAACAGATGATAGTTTTTATAGTTCATTCAAATAGAACAGTTGATCAAGATTCAGTATTTGTTAAAAATTTTTCCACTTATATTTCGCTTAACTTACGTGTGCAAAGTCTTCGCACAGCATATCTAATCAGTTTTTGTCTACTTATAAGTCACTGAAGAAATGGCTTAAAGTTAAGTTATTGATAACAAACCTTTGATAGCGACCATAAAACAACATTTGTAAAACACATTAATTTAAAAAGTATTGGTAAATATGTTTGCTCATTTTTTTTGTAGCACTTTGTGTCATTGAAACAGCTGAAGAGGAGTCAGCTAGAACCAGTCGTTGATACTTTTTTTATATTATTAATGTTCAAAATATTTTTACTGACTCAATCATCGCCCATGTCGCTCATTTTTTATAAATCTCGCCGGGATCTCGCGGGATTAAGTTTTCTGTGCGAGAAGCCGCGGGATCTCGCCTATCCCGCAAAAAGTGACGGGATGCTGCGGGTTTCCGGCCAAAAAAAAACATCCATGGCATCAAAATCGCCTAAGTTTTAACGATTAATCGTGATTAATTGCCGATCAATCAATCATCCCAACTAATTTAAAAACATTTTCAAGGACATTCGTGCAGTCAATTGACAAAGGAGATTATTCTCAACTTTTTCTTTTCTTGTGTCTGTCATATACATTCTTACTTCACAATAAATTTTGTTAATTTTTTCATCCAGAGAAATTTATAAATTACTCATCTGTTTTACTTTGTACTAAGAACTAGAGACAAAAAAGAACCACACAAGTCCAATTAGATTTGATTTGGTTCAGATTACGTTTGAAAATAGGTACGTGTAGGTGTGGGATGTGATTTGGAAGTGAAAGTCAATCTTCTATCACCCACATCCACCCTTAAATTATTTTTTTTTTAATCTGTTTCTTTTTAAAATCACTTGTATAAGTGCCATGGCCAGTGGATTCCTTATATTCTTAAAAAGCTTACCATAACAAAGTAGTGGAATATACTTTCGTATTAAAAATGACCAAGGGGTATCAATTTATTCTTATATTTTAGTTTACGGATTTATGGAATAAAAAATCATCTTTTTCCTAATTAGCATTTTAAAATATAGATTCTAAAAAATATTTTTATATTTAAAGAGAGATATGAATAACAATAATTTTTATGTAAAATAAATTAATTTTGTGATGATTTAAATTATAAATAAATTTAGTTAGAAATAAGTTTTATTTTTAAATATGAATTGCTATCATTCAAATTTATTTTTAAATGTAAATTATCAAAAAAAATTTTTTCATATATTTATTTTAAATTAACAGGAAAATGACATCCCTAGCTTTTACTCGTAGTAAAATTTTCGTGGTTAACAAAGTTTTGTCGAATATACCTAGAAAATTCAACAACAGCAGATATACGTAAGTTTAGTATAAGTGCATATTCCGTACCTCCAAAATACAAGTTCATCTGATCGAATCTGCTCTACGGTAATAAAAAGCGAGTTGGAACGCGCTGAGTAAGCACGAAGGTATATCGATGAACAAAATCGTTCTCAGAGAACGTTAACAGATACTGAACAGACTCGTTCTACAAACATCAAGTCTTGAAAAAAAAGTTGATTTTTCTATCTTTTTTTCATGGGAACCATCTTTATTGATTAGAAGAAAATCGCTGAATAATCGCGATTTTTCTGAAGAAATCGGGAAAAAAATCGCCAGAAATCGCACAATGTGACGATTTTATCGCGATATAATCTCACAATTAATCGGCATGATAAATCGCAATAAATCGCCGATTTTTGCGCGATTTTCATCATATGGGCGGGATCCCGACATTTTCCGTGGGATTGCCGGTATCTCGCGGGATCCCGATATTTTTTGAGCGGGATACCCGCGAGATCTCGTCCGAGATCCTGTGCGGGATCCCGGCAGGAAATTGCCGGGATGAAAGACATGGGCGGTTAGTTGAGAGAAAATATTTAGGGTAGCATGAATTTCGCCGTGCTGACTTTCGCACTTGACTTTCAGCAATTGCTAAAAGTTGTGTTTTTGTAAGATTTTCGGCTTTAAACAGGAGGGATCTTTGGCAATAGCCAATAGTTCANTAAACTGAAAACCAAATTCAAAACATGAATATTGCACAGAAATATAAATTTGTCGATTGAGTACAAAAGAGATCTTCATTGAAAATCTCGAAACCAATGAGATACATCATAATAACTTTTAATTTTATTTTTCTTGTTTTTTTTATTTTTTCTCAATTGATCTTCGGTTGATTATCGTGAAAATGTCAAAATATTGAAGGTAATACCTGGGCAATACATATGTATATGTTACAATTGACATGAAAATTCCAGTTAAGATTGAAACGCACAAAAAAAAACAGTAACATATTCTCTTTAAAAAAATTTATAATAGAAATCAAACTTTACAAACCAGATAAAGTGATTGATTTTGACAAGAATTCACAAAATCAACTCACATAAAGCTTCATAAATAACAATATTTTAATCTTTTCTCGAGGTTTTCTTTTACTCCCGTATCAGAAATTTCGATCGAAAATCCAACGAGAATACTTATGCATCGTATAACCATCGATTATAGTATTTAGACAACAGATTTAACCTTCAAATTGATTAGCGATTACAACAATTTATTACACTTTGATATCATAATTATAAAACAAACATAAGATGTTATGCATCCTTGCTCTTAAAATCACTACCACAAATACTTGCTCGTCTACAAATAGACAATATAAAAAGTTTTTTTTTTTTAAATTTCATCAATCTTGCAATGTCAACATATTCCCATTATCAAAAAAACATTGTAAATATGTAATACTGAATGAAATTTAACCAATCATTCACTGCCAGCATATCCCTATTATCAAAAAGTCGTTAACAATTAACACTCATTGTATAGAAAAAAAAAAATTCTTATTCAGTGTACAAAAAAAAAAAACCTTTTTTTTTGAAATCAAATGTAGCTAATGATTTGATGTCAGCATACCTCCATTATCAAAAAGTCGTTAACAAGTAATACCCGTTGTAGAGAAAAAAAAATTGCCAGCTCACTGTACAAAAAAATCTTTTTTTTTTGGGTAATGAAATTTCATCACACATTCACTGTCAGTATATTCCGACTATCAAAAAGTCGTAAACAAGTAATAATCATTGTACCAAAAAAATATTTATTTTTCAATCAAATTTAATCAATTATTCAATGTCAGAATGCCCCATAATTAGAAAAAGTATGATGAAAATTTATAAACATTCTAGAAAAACAAACAAACTATTCACGATATTAGCGATGTTTTTAATTCTACAATTGAATGATATCTTTTATGAGACAGTTACAAAAAACTATATTCCAATCTTAACTAAATTCCAAATTTGCTTGAAATATATAAACTGCATAGAATTTTAGAATTTTTTTATACTAATGTACGAAAACACGTCTTAGAAACGATCCCGTAAATGGCGAAACTATTTTCTTGTTTCATTTTTTCTTCCTACTTTTTTTTTTATAGTTCTTATGTCAAAATCATACTGGAAAGAAAAAACCGAAGAAGACAGCTTATTCTTAATTCATATATGTTTACTGTATTCATCGTCCCATCTGGTGACATTCGTTGGAAATGAGATTCATTGTCTTTAACGAATACCTGTCAAGATAGGTGCTAGATCAGGCATATATGTTTGACATGCTTATTCGTAATTAAAAACAATCGGCTCTTTCATGTCGGTTTTTGTTTCAATTCCTCCGGGCCTTGTATGAAAATTTTTTATGATTCTTGCAACTCTTACAAAAGTGAAGCATGAGATGTTTCATAGTAGTATTATACTTAAAAATGAAAAATTTTGATTCTCTCGTTTTTGTAAAATTAAACAAGACTAGGTAAGATATTGATATTCACCAAGACTCCTATATGACAGAATACTTTTAATCTTCTTTTTAGAGAACACATTTAAATATGTTTCTTCATGGGTCTAAATCGATTATTGTTTCAATGTATTGCTATTTCATTCGTTTTTCTTTTAAATTTAGGGTAACTAATATGTGAAAAATTAATACCTGAGTGTGTTTCTTAGCTTATCCACTTATTATATATTGTGATATTTATATCCTTTACATTCATTAGATTTTGTCAAATGCATGCACTCTACATTTATTATGCCGCACCCCATATATGCACTTAGTTAGGATAAAGCACGAAAAAAAAACAAATAAATATGAATATACAAAAAAACAAGGTTTCAATGAAAAATATCTGCGATACGCTTTACAACGTGATATATATATTAGTGTAAGTGTGTTCTTTCTCTTGTCTTTATTCAAAGCATTCTAATCAATATTACTTACGAAGGTAAGAAAACGACCACATTACATCGTTTATGTTCTGAATGTACATCATTATACCTTGACTAGGCACATAACGAAACAAGAACATGGATGATACCGAATTCGATCAAGTACCTCAAGTTTTATTTCAAGATGTTCCATCTGTCAAGTACATCCGTTTTGTTGAAGCTCTCATTCCAATGACAAATGATACACGTGCTATAATATGTGGTGCTGACTCTACAAAGGTTGCCATTGTCGCCGCTCGAGTTGGCAATGGTCGGTGTTTGGTATTCGGACATAAAAATTATCCTGCTTTTTTTCTTGCTAATGACTCTGAAGATCAACGTTTTATTGAAAACTGTCGTCGATGGTTGTCTCAAGGAAAAGATGTACAATTTGAATCGATCGATGAGATAGAATCGATAGATAGTGTCAAGGAAAAAGGAACAATTCTTGTGTGGAACGGACATAACTTTAAAAGCGATGCATTTATGGATGATTTGGTAAATAGGGTTATATTTTTTTTTTGTCATTTAGAATATGTTGCATATTTTTGTCTTACTAGCGTATATTTTTACAAGAAGGTGGTGCTCTGGTTTGTGGAGTAGGTGCCTGGAATTGGCTATACCACAATAGCGGCAAATCTCTTTCGGATTATTTAACCGGTCGTTTTTGTGAGTCAATTGGAGTCAAAGTGACCGGTTATTTGGCTGGTTGTGATAATCCGATTCCATTTAAACCTGAAATGGTTCAATTCAAAAATGTTTCGAATGCTGCTCAAGCACTGGCCAGTGAACCCAAAAATGGCGAATATTTGGCTATCGTCGGATCAGTAGTTAAGGAACTAGGCGATGCGTTGCCTGATGTATCGGTTGAAACTCTACAAAATCTGGTTGCAAATGCTGGAAGTGATGTTATCCCAGCAAATAAATCTCCGATTAAAGATAAATCATGTCGACAGCAATCAATCGGTTTATGCGGTATTTTATGTGGATTACCTGGTATTAAAGCTCCTGGTGAGTACGATCACATTTAATGAGAAATTGTAAAGTATATGTCAACTTTAGGTATAGACGAATTTCCTGGTGATTTTGATAATTCACCATCTACGGAAACAAATGTCACAGTTAACATTCAATCGAAGGCAGCTAACGAATGGTATTGCACAGGTATGTTTAAAGATACTCAAATCGTGAAGGGATACCATGGTTACAAAGTGCTTCTTTACCTAGAAATTTTGAAACAATATTAAGTTTGTTACTTTTCTTTTAGGATACTATGTGGCTGCAGGAACTACCATAAAAATTGACGTATTAGAACAAGTTGGTGCAACTGGATGGTCAGCTCGAATTGGTTGTCACAGTGATAATCTCGAGGTATGTTCTCCTACAAAACAGTTCTTCATATCAGCATGTACACATAATTAATTAGAACTGCAATAAATTATATCGATGGCACTGTATATCCAAACGAAAACTGTTGTCTGGTACTACTCTCAAAATGAGTTCCGCTTTTGGTGGTCTTCTCTTTCTTGAGAGTCCTGCTGGTGAATCAAATTCCATTAGTGTTAGCCTACAGAATGTTGTTCTAGCACCTACGTATGATCTCATGAATCCAAATCGAGCGGAAAGTTGGGAAGACCTACGTGTTCATGCACAAGGCCTATGGACAGATATTGCTGGCCAATATATTGTTTTCAATCTTCCTTCGAAAAGTGTACTCCATTTTGATAGTGCTCAATTAGATCGAGCTCTTCGTTTCTGGGATACCGTAGTACTAACACATCATGAACTGCGAGGTACTACACCGACACGTCGAGAACGCATCGTATGCGATGAACAACCATTAGCTGGCTATATGCGTAAGAATAACTTGATTCTTATATGAGTTTTCGGATTGCCAAAATGAACAATTCATTTTAGATGCTGGCTATCCGATTGTAACTGGATTGGACGTAGCTGATCCAAAAGTTGAAAATTTCTTACTGAATAGTGATATTCTAGAAAAGAAAGGCGCTTGGGGTCTATTTCATGAAATCGGTCATAACATGCAGCGTGATTGGTGGAGTAAGTATTACATGCATACACTTAGATCTTTTGAAGAAAAAAAAACAAGATATTGTTTAGCTTTTAGTTTTGCTGTTGAAGTAACCGTGAATATTTTTACTCTACATGCCATGGAGGTTATTTGTAAGTTTCAACCATGGATTCATTCTTGGCTTGACGATAAAATAGAGAAGGCACGCGAGAGTATAAAGAACGGAACGCCTTTCGATGAATGGAAAGCAACTGCCGGTGTTGGCTTGTTTGTCTATGCACAGCTAGTACGAGAGTTTGGTTGGGACAGCTATAAGGCTGTCTTTCGTCAATATGAAGAAACTAAACCGACTCTGAATAGTGATCAAGAGAAGATAGATCACTGGATCACAACCTTTTCACGTCAAGTAGGCCATAATTTGGTTCCACTGTTCAAATTTTGGGGTTTTCCAATTTCACAATCAACTGTTGATGGCCTTCATGATCTGCCGATTCGAGAAATCTCCGATGAATTCATTCAAGTAGCACCAGAACGCTATCAAGTCTAAAGCATCTTACGTGGAACATAATTAACTTATCTTAAAAAATAATTATTTGAACTGATATAATACACTTATTATTTAGTAATAAAAATCATAGAATTTCAAATTTTAATGTCAATAAAAAAATTATTGTTATGATCCTTTCTAATAATTAAAGATCAACTTTTGTATATAGCTTGGTTTTGACGAAATGCTCAAATCGGTGGTCAATCTTTGCTAATTACATCATTTGTGTCTTGTTTGGATAGTCATACACACGAAAGAATCTTCCTATAGGTGTAACAGTGTCACTGCACATATTCTTCAAGATAATTGTCAGTGAATATGCATTCGCATTCTTGGCTTTTCTTTGCCATGAATTAATGGAACGATCTGATTCTTTTTATACTGAAGAAAATAGTAAAGTTTGGAACAAAACATAAGAATTCAAGTTTAAATGTATATTCTGATGATTTTGATCAACAAGGAGAGTTTGCAAATAGTTGTACGTATTATTCTGTTTCTTTCAGTTTTCTATCGTGTGCGATGTTTCATAGTGTTAGATGAGTACGAAAGCCGTAAACAATTATGCAATCCGATTTTGTACTTGTATAATTCAGCTCGAATTTCAATTGAAATTTGATCTAATACGTATTATTCTAGTGCTCATTTGACATTCTCAGCAAATGTCTTTTCGATATCGAGAATTTTTTTGTCTGTTTTTATTTTTGAGCGTTTCTCCTTAATATAACGAACTACAAAACAAAACGGATGGTGAATTTTTACATTTCAATGTGACAATGATTTCTGAATATATGATCTGATAAAAAAAGTAATATGCCAAATTTTGACAATTAGCATAATCAGAAAGTATTTCAAGAAGCTCAGAAATAATTATGAGATTCTGAGTGACTAATACTACGCAACTATATATGTATATACCGACAAAACAGAAACACGCATATAGAACTGAAGTTTTTTTTTCTAAAGATCAATACTTTCAAATCTTCATCTTGTTGATTAATTGAAAAGAGAAAATAGTTGTAAATAAAACTGTACGTTTCATATTGTGTTTCTTCACGGTTGGTTTTATACGACATAAAACCCTAATGACTATCTATATATAGTTCGGTATATGTCAACTATATCTTGATATGAAACTATGAATAGATTGATATTATTTGAGAGAAAGACATAATACTTTTTATCTTAAGATTTCTACAACTCAATTATTATTATAATTTTGAAGTTTTATAAAAGGTATATAAAGTCGCATAAAAAAAAAAAGAAAAAAAAAATGAGAATTATAATCACATAATTTGATTGGTTCTTATTCGATCAATGAATATACGAACATTTTTTGAGAGAAATAAATATATATATTACTACATTTGATTATGCTTTATTACTATTAACAAGAACTCTTCATTTTTTATTAATTTCAATAAGACTCTTTATCTTTCATATAGAAATATATTACTATAGACTTCATTTTATTTTTCATTATATGTATATAATTATTTAAACATGTTTTCATCTGATAAAATTTATGTACTATAGTTTTCCTGACTAATGAAAAACTTACTGAAAATATATGCGATTATTAAAAAAAAAAAAAAAGAAAATATTACTTTCTCTTCATTCTATGATGATACTTGTTGTTGTCTTTTCTTTTGTTACAATCTTATCTTTAGATAATTTAGAAGGTCGTCAGTAAATCTTTTTTTTTTCTCTATTATTGTCTTTAAGAAGACAAACTACGGTTTATTAGTTCAATCGTTATATTATAAATAAATAAATAAAAAAACATAACAACAATCATGGATGATCGATTGATTAATGTTCTATTACTTGGTTCAGCATTTATGGTTTTATTTACTGCATTTCAAGCAACTGGCATGATATCGGTATTAATATCATTTTCAAAAAATTTATCATAATCAAGTTGTTGATATTCTTTCTAGCAAAGTGTGCTGGAAGGAGTCAAAAATGAAACTACTCATGGTAGTAGATTTCATGGAAGTGGTTATATCAGGTGAGAAATAATTAATTAATTTTATATCCATCAAGTTTAAATACTTTTGCACATAAGTATGATATTCGACATTGCTAATTTGATTTTTTTTTTAAAGATAAATTTCATACTATGTTAAAACGAAAATAAAAGACATAATGTCACATTCAATTGATATTTTATTCTTGAAATCTTAACAGTGAATTAATGTATATAGCAAAACTTTTGGATCGCGTACCAATTAGAATAGACTTACAAAAATTGTTCTAAAAAGGATACCATATAATCTTGTATTGAACTCACGTGTTGAAGTGAGTAAGTCATGCTTTTTTCCATCGAGTCACGTGTATGAAAATGTCTGATGTCGTTCGCATTAAAAGTACAGCTGCGACGATATTAAGAAGAAGGTGAATCAGCTTGTATATACATGTAGCAAGTCTTCAAGATGCACTTCAATCATGATCGATTTTTAATATTTAAATGTCCCGATTGTTCAAGTTTTACATTGCCAGTTTCAATAATGCTCGCAAACACTATTATCAGATATTTTTGAATAAAACAAAACGATATTAGAACCGATGAATTATACGAAAATCTATCATTTTTGACCAGTTCTATTATCTTTTTGTTTGATTCTATAGATGTTCGACAGTAATGTTAGTTAGTGAGCGCAATCGAAACTGCTAGATGAAGAACTGATATATTCCTAAACTAGTAAGATTAAAGTATCGATCATCTTTCGATGAATAAATTTTTGGATCTTTTCAAGTTTATTGATTTTTCTTTAAATGTATTAATTATAGCTCGGCTATTCTATATGCATGTTTTGCTATAACAAATATATTTGCTCCTACTATTGTATCAATGCTTCGACCAGCTGTTGCAATGTTTCTCGGTGGAATAACTTATTTGTGAGAAGATAATATAATAATGAATTTATTAACTTAGTTTAATTTTTAGTCTCTATGTTCTTTCATTTATTTATCCAATGACTTGGTCATATTATGTTGTATCAATTTTAGTTGGTATAGGTGCTGCTGTTCTTTGGGCAGCACAAGGAGTTTATTTAACAAATAATTCTAATGATTTAACAACAAGTCGTAATTCGGGTATTTTTTGGGCTTTATTTCAAGTTAGGTAATTTTAGAAAAAAAAAATAAAAATTTTTTTTTTTTTATTAAATATTATTTTATTTTGATATAGTCTTTTAGCTGGTAATGTTTATATTTATATATCATTAAAAACTGAAATGATTGATAGTGCAACACGTATACCATTATTTGTGGTTTTTTCAGTTGTATCAGCTGTTGGTTTAGTTTTATTTGCACTTATTATATGGCGTTCATATGTTGAAAAAAATCGTGATACTTTAATTCGTAATGTTGAAGAAAAACGAAATACTTTAGTAGATATTGTTCAAACATTAAAAATAGCTGTTAAATTATTAAAAACACGTAATATGCTTTTATTACTTATACCGTTTGCGTATTCGGGTATATAATTAAATGAATATGTTTAGTTATCTATATCTTAATCATGAATTCTTTGTTTATTAAGGCTTTTCTACAACATTTTTTCAAGGAGTTTATGCAACATGTATTGGACATTATGTTAAATATGGAGGTGAAAATGAAAAATCTTTGTATTAAGAATGAAATTTTCTTGTTTTTTTTTTTGTATAGATACTCGAAAACGATTAATTGGTTTGCATGGTATTCTTGTTGGATGTGGTGAAATTTTAGGTAAAAATAATTGTAAAAATAAAGAACGAATGACGGTTAGTAGGGAAATCGGTTCGTTGCATTTTGATGATTTGTTTTTGTACAAAATAAAGAAGACGATGATAGAAATTATACTTTATATTAATATGGCGTAAGCGTCGAGTATAAAATATTTCATGCACTGAGTTAGAGTTTATTGACTCTGAATTGTATAACAATCGATAGAGTTTTTTCTCGGGTTACGAATCCATATATAATTTGTCAGAAGATAAAAGTTGTGAACATGTTTGGAACGAAGAAAGATTTTTTTGGATAGGCGAGAAAACGGCACTTTTACATCAGTATTCAACGATTTTGGTCGTAATAATAATCTTGTTAATCAACAGCGATATCATATTCCGAATAAGCTTAAAAAATAGCATCGATGACTTTTATTTTTAAGTCAGCTCTGATGTCGAGGACAAGGCTTCAACATTGAGCGAAAATAAAAGTTGTCAGAAAACGTTAAAGTACATATAGATCGACGCCGTTTTTTTGTGTTGATTCGAAATATCATATCAGTTTTGATTGAAAAGATGATTATTACAATCGAAATACACTAAATAATTTATGTCCTATCTGTCGATATACAATTTGGGGTAGTGTCACATATCCAAGATTTTGGAGATGCCACCGCATCTCCTGCGGAAGACGCGGCACCCACACTCGGGAGATGAGGTCATTCACCACTGGAGATGTAAGATTTCCTTTAGAGAGACGCATCCCCCACTAGAGGGCTGCAGGGTGCAGGATTTTTATAACCTGTAACCTGCCCTGTAAATTTTTTGTAACCTGATCCTGCCCTGCCCTGTGAATATTTTTGCGGACCCTGCCATAAAACTTTCTAATGTAACCTGTAACCTGCCCTGCCCTGCCCTGCTAATTTTAAAATAGAGGAATATCCAAAATTTCCTATCAGTATTTATAGTACATTTAATTGTGTGTACTTCAAATTTGAATTGGATAAAAATAACGCTTAATTTNCTTGATGACCAACAATAGCAACTTTTGATGCTGTTGAATTCATATCACGTTCAAAACCATCAAAACGATGTTTAATTACTTCTAATTCTTCAATATCATTAACTTGTGTTGGATCTAATGTAGCTAAAAATCTTTCTTTTTCTTCAATCCATGCTTCAACATTATCCGCATCAGCTAATAAACGAAATAATGCAATAGCATCATGTAGTTTTTGTTTACGTAATTTAGATAATTCAAGTAATTCTGTATAACGACGTTCAATAGATTGTAAACGTTGCTGTACATCAGATAATGTTTGTTTTTCCGGTGATAATGTTTGAAGATTATTTTGTTTAAAACCTTCAATTGTTTTATGATAATTATCTAATAAATCTTGTGTATCTTTATGTTTTTTTAATAATGTTTGAGCTGATAATTCATCACGACCAATATCTTCACTTGATACAAGTTTTAACATATCAAGCATCCATGTATCAATATCATCAGCATCAGAAAAAAATTGATAATAATCATGTGTTTGATTTAAACTTTGTGCACGATTTGATGACATTTCAATTAAATTATCCCATTTTAATTTTAACATATTTAAACGTTCATCGATTTTTTTTGCAGCAAAATGACCTTGTCTTATCATTGTTTCACCTTGATTTGTTAAATTTTCTAATTGACCATACCTTAAAATAATTAGAAAGAAAATTTTTTCTTTTTCGTGATTAATACAATGGGAAATGTTGTTTTTTTGCAACTTCACTTGAACTCAATATATTATTTAAGAAATCTAAGATGATCTCACTGTCTATATTCACATTTTGAATGTATTATAGAAGTGAATTATGAAAAAAATTGATCGAGTTAATAGTTTACAAAGAAATCGTTTTTTAGCTCGGACTCTATGTAATTAATTATAAGGTAGACTCGGAAGAACTATCAAAAGGATAAATGTCCTTAGACCTTTCCTTCAGAGTTATAGTCATACTACTGGAATTTTAAGCGATAGCATGATATGCACCAATAAATCTAATGATGATATTTCGATCTGAAGATTTGCTCACTGATAGATTTACTTGTGATTAGAATACGCTGAAAATCTCAGCTTAAAAGAATTTTTCCTATGTGTCATATTGAATTTTCAAAAATGATTGATATTCCATGAAGTAAATATACTTTTGAGCTGAAGTTTTCAGGATATTCAGGTCACAATGAGATCTATCTGTGGCCCAAATTTCAGGTCAAAATACCCTCATTCGATTTGTTGATACATATCGTGCCATATCTTAAAATACTAGTTAAACAGCTTTAGCTTTGGAGAGAAGGCCTGGGGGCAGCTCTCTTTGTCACGCTTTTCATATCTTACTGTAATCTATGTTATGTGTATAGTTCGAATTCAAAAACGATTTATAGTTTAAGACGATTCCTTCGTTAGATAGTTGAAACATTAAAAAAATTCATTTGATTGGATGTCTACATGATCGTAGAATGTCTAACTTTTAATCATAATAAAAAATGTACAATTTAATATTCGTTTTTTTTTTTGATTTAGAACTTTTGTTGAAAAAGAAAATTCTATAATACAATATACAAACTTCAGTCTTTTTTATCGTTGTTCTATTACACTCATATATAAAAATATCGAATATCAAAAAATCAGAAAAAAGAAGCATATGAAATATTATGGTCTCTGAACAAAAAACAAACATTTTACATTTTCCTCGTATTCTCAAAGAAAAATGTTTATCATTTTATTAATAACTTTATTTTTAAACGATCTACTCAACTGACATGAAATTATGAATTTTACTAAATTTTATTATAAATAATTTAAAATTAAATTTTACCTTGTTGTCATATCTGTTTCAACTAATTTATGTTTTCCAAGTAAACTATCTGTTGAGTTAACATCATGACCCATATCAGGTGATGTCATAGTTTGTTGTTTTTCATCAATCCATAATTCTGCATCACCAATATCCGAATAAAATTTCGATAAAACTTTTGCTTGTTCAAGTAATTCACGACGTTTACGTGCTAATTCAATTAATTCTTCATATGCTTTTTGTAAATTATGTATACGTATTTCAATTTCTTCTGGTGTGGCTGGACGATAACCATCAATATTAACATCTGGATTAAGATATTCATCAGCATCACTTATAGCACGTTTTAAACGTTCATCAATAATATATATATCAGCTTCAACTAATGAATGTCGTTGAAGAAGATCATCAGCTGACATTATATATTTTTCAATATCATCAGATTTTAATCGCCATTTTAAATCAGTTATCCATTCAAAAATATATTGCATTTCCTATGAAAATGATTTTTTAAATAAAAAGAAAATTTTTGTTTCGTTTTATAGAATTATCATACTTGAAAAACGCGTTGTAAATTATAAGCAAGTTCAAGACATTGTCGACGTTTAGTAACTAAACTAACTAAATATTCCCAATGCATTTCAACATTTTTTTTTCGTGCTTCAATTGTTGCATAATCATGATAGTCTTCAGTTTTAAGTTCATTTGCAATAGCCATTATGTTTTGAAGACGTTCTTCAAATGCAGCTATATCAGTTTGAATAGCTTCTTGTTTTTTAAATGCAGCTTCAACTGATGTTAAATCTGTACCAAATTGATCACTAAATGAACACGAATTTCGAATAACAATTAAAATAGATTCAATTAATCAAACAGATACAAAAAAAAAAACAATTCGCTATTGTGCTTTCATTCTCTGAGTGCTAGTAGTGATGAGAAGTACAGCGAGAAAAGAAGAAGAAAACCTTTCGTGATTCGGTCCCTCCCACAACAGGTCACCTGTCATTAAAACATCCGCTTCTCAATCCTATTCACCTTGCAGCGACATTGTCTGCTTATATTCATTTCCCTTTCTGTCAGAGACAGGCAAATAGTGTTTCAAAATCAAAGTTACCATGAAGCGGTAAAAACAAACAATTGACAGAAAATCAGATGTTTTGGGAGGACGCCCACTAAACAAGAATTCTTGTCAAGTTATTTCAATTTTCTCAAGATAAGCACTAGTAACAAATGTATGTTATATTCTATTGATTGGCTAATAAATGACAATAACTAGAAATACTTTATTGAAGTTCGATTATATCATTTATTTTTGATTTTTATCGAAGAATACCATCGATATGTCACTTTTATATTTCATATGTTTAATAGTCTTGATTGTTTCTATGTAAGCACAAGAATAACTAACTATAAAGTATCCTTAATCATTAGATACTGCTTAAATTCTAATTTTAGGTATGATTAAGTCTCTATGAAGAAAAGAAAAATCTACAAACAGTTTCTCCTGGGTAAAAAAAAAAACTTGAAAATTTATTGTCGTGCAATGACTATGCTAGTATATTAAAGATTAACTACATTTCCCAATACGCCTAAGTCTTATAGTAACAAAAACAGTATCCAACATACTCCAATTGATGAATATTACAGATATGATTATTTATTTATTTATTCACATATTTACTAGATTTGACTATCTCTCTATATTCAATTTAGATGAATATTTTCTATGTTTGTATATTCTCGTCAATCTGTTTACAAGGACTAAACAAAAACCAAACAAACAACAGGCCCATGTAAACATTGTTTATTTACCTTGCAACAAGTTTTTCACTATCGGTTAACCATTTTTCTCTTAAACCAGCTTTTCGATTAAATTTTGTTGCTAATTGTTCTAAACGTTCTTGTCGAAGAATTTCTTCTCTTAAAGCTAATTCTCGTTCATGTTCAGCACGTTCAAGATTTTCCCATGCACGATTTATATCTGATATCATTTTTCCTTCACGTGGTTGATATGGTATTTGTTGATTAGCACGTTCTTTACTTTGTAATGTAAATAATAATACTTCTAAATTTCCTTTTTCAGCAAATCGTGCAGGTTTATCCATAACACGATAACGATTAAATTCAACAAGTTTTTCATGTACACGTATAAGTGAATTTGGAAATTGTCGATCATTTAATGTACGTATGGTTTGTTCAATCCATATTAATAAATCCGATACTAAACGTTCATATTCATTAGCCATTTTTTCTGAATCAAGTGCTGAACCAATAACTTTAGCTAAACGTCTACCTTGTACACTATCATTTTTCATTTTAGAAAAATAATGATATAATGTAACAATATATGTTATAATAGATTTTTCATCAATATATTCAACATTAATATCTTCAGGATCAAGTAATCTACTTATACCTAAACGTTTTTCACATATATCAAATGCTAATTGTAAATTATGATTTGGATTATCTTTTGTTAATGTTTTAAATTGTGGTATTAAATCAGGACGATGTTTATGTATAAGACCACAAAATGCTAAACCATCTTTCCATGATGTTGTAAAATTTCGTACATTTATATTTGGATAATCAGCTGTTTTCATTTGACACCAAAGTAATAAAGCATCTTTAGCTGATTTTGTTTCTGTTGATTCATATTCTTCAATAGTTATATCTTGAATTTGAAAACGAAGTATTATTGTCCATATAAGACCAAGAATTAATGATGAATTTCCATCGACAATATCATGAGCGCTAGAAAAATAATTTAATTATATACTTCCGAATAATCAACCATTCATTTCCTCTTATTGAATAATTGATTTTAGAAAATATAATGTCTTGATAAAGCGACGATTACAAACCAGTCAAACTTGGTTTAAATAAATCTTTAGTTTCGATCTTGAACATTTTTGGATGTTATCTTATTTTAAACCTATGTCAAGTATTGGTTCAAACTACTGACTATATGTTTTGCATAAAGACTTGCATCACGGTCGTGATCAAAAAGAAAAAAAAGTTCCACAACAGCTTTTTATAACAAGACTAGAAGAATTAATCGCGCAATCACGCTGAATCTTTTGTTTAGCATTTTCTGTTCTTCAAACTGCCGTTTAAGACGTGAGGACAGAGCAATTTTCGGCAAAAAGCAAATTCGTCACATTTGTCGTGACCAGCATTGGTCGCAACCAAGGCAGAACATTTTTTTTTGTCGAAGATTATTCCATCCTCAGGTCTTAAACAAAATTTCGAAGATGAAACAATTCTAAACAAAAGGTTCAGCTCGATTTATTCCCTTAGTCTTATTATGAAAAGCTATTGCTAAAAAAAATTTTCCTTCTGGTCACGATCGTTACTGCATTGTAGATCTCTAGTTTTGCATCTCTGGAAATAAAACATTCTCTGATCTTGTCATTTATTTTTATAATTCATAACATGTAATTTATCATTCTCATTTCGTGAACAACCTCGTCTTCACTATCAACAATATTGATCTGTGTTCAAAATCATTTCATTGAATTAGGTAATATTATCAAGAGCATCATTTGGCATTATATTCTTATGAATGTTTAGAAATCTACATAAAGAAAAAATTTGAATTCATATCCAAATACATTTTGAAATTCTAATATTATATTTAACATGTTTATTAAAATTTTTCGTCACATGATTTCCGATACTTCCGTTTAGCAACTAACATTTAATGGATTTTATGTTAATGTAAAACTAACATACCCAATATTTTCCAAATGAACATGTTGTTCTTGTAAAAACATAATAGCTTTATCAACATTTTCTAAACAATGTATACGCATTTTTCCACGTGTGGCTTTCGGTAAACGTTCTCCACTTAAAATTTCTAATAAACGAATTAACATTCGTCCATCAGCTAAATCAGTATATAAATCAGTTATCCGACAACCAACACGAGTTAAATGTGAATTAACCCATTTTGTAAATGTTTTCTTTTGTACATGACCACGTTCATCAGCTAAAACTTGTATACGTGTTCGTTCGAACATACGTGCTGATGAATTACATTCATCTTGACCAGCTAAATCAAAATCAGCTGCTATTTGATCAATATTAAAATTATTTTGATCTTGTTGAGAATCATGACCATTGGTTTGAGGATGATGAATGCCGTTAGCTGTTGCTGACGACATGTCGAAACTAAAGAAAGAATTTTTATATATTCTTCTGTATTCATAAAAATACGACGAAAAAAGAAGGGGAAGGACGCATACATGCAAGTATAACTAACCTAAAGAAGAAAAAAAAATCAATTCTCCTGAGAAATTGCAACTGTTGCAAGAATGATCCGTTGCGAATCTCTCGTTCTCTCGTTTTTTTTCTCTGACTGGCTAATATGAGAACAATGGTTCTTTATGAATAAAATGAGTAAGGCATCAGCTATTTCTTTTTTTTTTTTTTTTTTTTTACATAAGCACTAACACTACAATCATGCCGGGAGGAGAAAGAAGATTAATTGTGCCAGTATGTTTTTCTATGTATATAGAAACAAAAAAAAAAGAAATTCTATGCCAGCTCGACAAACATTCTGATCATCTTGTTACTCAACTATGGCAAGAATTAGCATCTTAGTTTTTTTTTTTCGTTCAAGACAAATATACGCGCGCTTCCTTACTAAGCTTGGTCTTGATGGTAGGATGCCGTATCGACCATATTTGTTGTCTCTATTACAGTTAGACATCTAACGATGCATTATTTGCTTATGCATATAGAGGTGGTTGATATTCTCCTTTCTTTCTTTTTCTCTCTTATTCATATTCATTTTGCCTGATTGTCCATCGGTCAGACGGTTATCTTAGGGGTTGAGAAAGAGAATAGAAAGCCATATCGTTCATATTTTATCTATCCTTATTTCTACTTGCATGCAGATGGAGCAATGGCGATGGTGTTAACAATCATTTGCGTTCATCGCTCTTCTTCTATTCTCTCTTTCCGTTCAAAGGTGGTGGTGATGGTGGTGGTAGTGGTGGTAAACTTAGTATTGCATTCTTTTCTCTCTTTCTCGTTCGTCTAGTCTGTGTTCTGTTTCTTCTTCTTCTTTTTTCTTCATCGTCCGTTCGTCGTTGTTCTCTTTAGCTGAGAGGAATACTAAAATGGTACCAATATTATTACTATGATGACTACTGCTGCCGTAGTCGTACGGCGCGGCATATATTTTTTTTTTCATAGAGAGCGAATCGCGGTTTTCTCTTTCCTTTCCTTGCTCTGTATGTCTGTGCGTGTGTGTGTCGTTCTCTCGGATTAACGCGTTCTTTGATACGTATAACAGCATGAAAGAGAGAAAAGAAGACGACCGCAAGAGTAGAACTGGTTATTGCCGACTGTGTTCAGTTGTCGTAACTTACCAATTCTAATTACATATAATCAAATTGTGTATTACTCTTTGCCTCTCTCTCTCTCTAGCTCTTTTTTTTGTTTCTCTCTATGCTCAATACGTCAATGAAACTTTAATCAATAATTGATTCCATGATGATAGATGGATTCAGTTTTGTTTGATATCTCTTATCATATTCTTTTATTCGTTATGGGTAGCTTGTAAAAACTAAGATAATAACACTGTATCTAGATCTATCGATCGATCGATCGATCGAAGAAAAGAAAGAAAGAAAAATATTAATAATACTCTATGTATGTATATACATCATATGCATTGTTTTAGGTCAGGGAACCAAATGGAATGAAATACATGCATCTTATATATATATTAAATACATGAACTATTGTAGTATAATATAACAATTTGACCTTATCCCGAGGCTAGATAACGAATAAATTAAATTTCTTACCTTGTCGACATATTAAACAAGAATGATAGATGTGTGTTCTATACTCAACAAGTAGAAGAAAGAAAAGAGATCGAGGTCTAAAAAAAACAACAAAGGATTGAAGTTAATAGAACCTTGATAAATTTTTGTGCGATCAGTCAGAAAAAAAGAAGAACTCAATCGATCATTGATCGATCAATAAAAATAAACAAACAAACTTTTTCCGACTATTTCTTCGTTCTTCCTCTCTTGTCTTCTGTCTTTAGTGATGCATCATCGCTTTCTATGAATTGTTGAACAAAAAAATTAACCAATAAAATTTTATTAAAAAGAATTATTATAATTTAATATATTTTTTTTCAAATATTTCTATGAATTCAATTGTTTTATAAATTATTATTATTTTTTCTCCCTAGCGACATCTATGACTTTTCATTGGTGAATCCATCAATCTAATTTAGTCGATAAAATGTTAAGAGCTTTATTTTTCGTAAATCATCTTTTGAACATATAAGACAAAAACCATTTCAATAATTCAATTTCATGTGAATGAATAAGTTCAAAGAAGAACTACAAATTAGAAAGAAAACCTAAATGATCTATACAAATGAATATAGTGTTTCTTTTGTATGGTATTGACTTACTTGAACATAATATAAATAAACGATGTACATTAATCAAGGATTAAATTGAATATAAATCTCGAGAAGATCGAGTCAGGAAATATTTGATAGGTAGGTCTTTCAGTACAAATGTCACAGTGAATTCTAAATTGTAAGTGAAACAAATCAATTTTTAAAGTAATTTAATTGATGTTAAGTGAAGTTTAATGCATGCAAAATATAAATATTAGTTTGATTGAATGTTGCATAAAAATTAGAAAAACAAAACAATAACGCATTCATTATCATTTTCGATGCATTTTGATAAGCAGCAGTTCGTGATAGATCCGATTAAACTTGTTGTTTACGTGAATTTTGATGCAACTCATATATGTCACGTACAATTCATTGTACAGGATTCTTTTTTCAATCGTTTGATACTTTCATAAAACTATAACATTTGTTTTTATAGATTTCTATTTTATAATCAATTTAGAAAATATATTTGAATATTTGTTTGTATGAAATATATTACAATAAAATCATATAAACTTCTAAATAAAAAATAAATCGTTTCATTTGTCTGCAACATTTAACAATCATTCACAAGATCAACGTGAAATAAAACGAAACATTCACAATTTAAAGAGTATAACTTTATTGATTAGATTCTACATTTGTTTCTTAACATAAATTAATTAAGAAATTATAAAGTCTCGATGAAAGAAAAAGTAATTTTAATTTACATGTTTTTTTTCTACATCAATATTATTCATATGTGGAATATTTATTTTACTGTCGTTTTCTGTTCTTAAAGCTATTGTTATCATTATGTTAAGCTTTCTGAAAATAGAAGCACTCCTATTAGAACTTTTCTTTAATTGCTTCCCTTAAGCACATTTCTAGAAAAAAGAATGTTTGCGTATAAGATTTTTTCTTTATATTTTTTTGTTCGAAGAACAGAACTGATTAGGAGTGACATCCTTTTTTTTTATCTAAACACGACAATTATTTATTGTGACGAAATTTATTTTCTTTATTATTAATTCTTTCTCCATATGGAGATGATTTTAATTCTACTTCAATGACATCTGTTTTTATTATATAGGATGAAAAAAAATCACTTGAAAATCAGTTAATCCGTATTCGAAATTCGAATACTGTTCAAATAAATTTTTATTAATCAAACTCATGAACTTTAGTTTTTTTTTCATACACTCACAAACCTCTCTATAATTTAGGTATGTATTAAGATATTCATGGTAGTAATTTTACAGTTGTGTGTCAACTTAACACTGTCTGCGCATCAAGTAGATACTTATATGAAGATTAATCAAGTGATATATTGCACTGAATTTTCGGACTTAGGACAGATTAGTAGTGATATTCTATTTAAAAAAACGACTCTGTTACTTTCGAACATTATTCTACTAGTTGGATACACTGTATCAGCTTGAGTTGTAGGGACTCGAGCACCAACTGATGCTACCACAAACTACTTGGAGAGTAATTACTTATATCAATTTCAGACAAAATTATTCTATCAATTCTTTACAAAATAAAATTCTTTTCTATAACATAGTCACATAGATTCTTTTTAATATAATTACATTAAGGTTGACAGATTTTTGTCCATCATTGGTGTCATCGGCAGTTGAACAGCAGTCTTTCAAATACGGACTGCTGTGTAAGACATGAAAAATGATTACTATTGTTTCTAACCTAGCAGTTCAGGTGTAGAACACCAATGCATTTTGTACCATATCCTTTTTGTTCAGGTCTTTCTATTAATGATACACCAATTAGATTGATCAATGTTTTTTGTATGATTCACGAGATTAGAGTACCGATTTTATTACTAGCTCACTCATTCACATGAGTAAAATAGTCATAGATTCTGTCACTGAAGCAACTAATCAATTATATATTACATTCATCATCAACAGTAACTGATGATTAGAAAGGAAATCAAATTAGTACTTCCAATTTTTTTTCTAAAGTATGCGTGTATACACAAATTGATGAGATGTTTTGTACTGCTTCGATTGATCAAAGAAGACCGGTAGGTTCACAAAATTGTATTAACTTTGTTGTTAGTTATTTTACGCTTACTTGTATTATTGAAAGATTTGTACATGGTAAGTTATCTTCTGTTTACATCGTAATGCTAGCGATGTTCTATTTTCAGGATTAGCATCACTTTGTTGTTAGTATTATCCCAATCGAAATAGTATATTTCGATTAACATATTCAACACAGTAAATCGTTCAACATCTACTCGATAAGTTGATTATAGATATTAGTCAGATTGTATCTATTCTAGACATATTACTTTATTCATTTTATGAAAATACGAATTAGACTATTAGTGAACAATTACTATATTTTATTTGAAAGTGCAACAGAATCACGTGATGTTTTTTGTGCACATGAGTCAGATCTTATTTTTAGTATTGTGTTTGTATTCATGAAGTAATACTTATATTGAATCCTTTGTTTACTTATATATAAAATCCAACATACTGGAATTTTAACATTTGCAATTCAACTCTTTCGAGTACGACGATAACAATTGAAATGCTAACAACACAAATAAGATTTATCATTATGTATACAAACGTGTAACGAACTATTTTATTCTCTAACTGTATAATTAACTTTCTTTGACCACTACATGCAATGCTAGTCTAACAAAAACTGTTATTATTATAAAAATTACTTCTATTGAACAGATAATAATGAGTACATTTACTACCGATACACATCACTGTTAATATCCACTAGGGGTTATATTCATAATATATATCATAAAGGCTTCTTATTTTTCGTTTTGTAGCAGGTAAAAAAGTGAATGAAATGATACTAGAAGAATTTCAAGAATCTTTTACTCTTTACTACATGTGATTAAATAGTCTATCGAAAAATTTCTGCGACTACTGTTCTTCAATGTAATTTTGCGAAATCGAACGATTTCTCGTCAAACATAATAAATAGAATAAAACGTTGCATCTACATTTCATGTCTAAGATGTTATTATTTTTAATAAATCCTGCATAATCCAATTATCGTAGAGTAGAATGTATGAACTAGTCTTCTTAATTAATCAATTTATTTAGGTTAAATCATTTCTATATGAAATTACGATCTACTTTCTAATTACAGTATGTCTAAAGTACTGAACACTGTCTGTAGACGTTTGGCTACTTATTTATTATACTTATTAGTAGACAAATGATACAGTCAATATAAGATGAATTAGAAATGCTCTTAGGAAAAAAACTTATGTCAAATTAATATTCGGAAATAATAATAATTCTTACATTCTCTTTAGTTAATCAAACATCATAAATATCAATCAACATGGTTATGAGTTTCTTTATAACAAATGATGTAAAACATGTGCCAGTTTATGATGTATAATGTGAATATTTTATCTCAATTTTCACAACAGAAAGCATATTTAACTAGATTTGCATATTTGATTTTAGCTTCTTGGAAGAATGAGCAACATATTGAAAATCAAGGTCCCCTCCAAAGAATTCTATTTCCGTTATTATTAATTGAAATTAAGATCAATGCATGAGAGAATGGCTTGCGGTCGGATATTTCGCGGACAATATGATTTCTTGTAAATGTTGTTTTTTCGAAGATTTTTATTTCTTTCTGTTTTTCTAATCGTGTATATTGACAGAGCCCATTTTTTCAATTAATCTTTGTTAATGTTATATAAAAATGCACTTCTTTAAATAGATAAGCATTTTTTTTGAGAACTTTTTCAGATACTGAATTTGTCATCCGTTATCTGAGAAATGAAAAGTAAGAGTTATAAAAAAAGTTCAATCATAAGAATGGAAATCACAACAAATTTCCGATTTTGCCAAACGAGCTATTTTTGATTCTTATTTGATCAATATCTTCCTTAAACATCGTACTATATAGTTGAAAATTTTATATCACTTGAATATACCTGGCCCGAAATTAGCTCTTGAAGATGGATAAGAACTTCATTGAATGTTGCTTAAACTTTTATTAAACATTATGACAAAGAATTTTGTTTTATTAGCATCCAATTAGTCGAAGAATACACTATGTACATCACTTTTATTGTATGTAAGTCACAACAAATAAAAGTTGATACTAAGATTATATTAATTCAAAGAAAAAAAAATGTATAAATGTTGAAAGTACAATTCAGTGAATTAAACGTGACAATCTTAAGATATCGTATTTAAGCAAATAATAGTTGATTTTATGGAAATAAAAATGAAAAAAAAGCTCTATATTAAAATTGTAGTTTTACATTATTTTAATTAAATAAAATATTCAGATGCATGAAAAAATTCATCAAGGAGTAACAAACTTCTGTTTGTTTAATTCATATGTATTCTATTTATTGTTTATCATTATTTTCATTATTTAGATAAGCTGGATTAGGATAACTTTGATCTGTTATTGCCATTTGACGTTGTATTGAATCAATCGGTGATAATGTCATCATTTCATGTGGTGGTTTTAATTTTTCATCTTTTTCATTTGCCTATAATAAATAATCAATATTCATTAACAAATAATCGAAATTTCGTTTTATTTACTTGAATAGAATCTTGTCCATAACGAACACCAAATCGTAATTTAGATAAGATTTTTTCGGGTAAAAACGGAAAAAGAATATCAAATACAGGTAACATTAATTTTTGATCAAGATCTTCTGGTTTTCTAAAACCTAATAAACATACTTATTCTTTATCATTTCACATATTTTTATTTCTTCTTATTCTACCTGTAAAATAACTAACCACTAAACTAACAATTACAGCAGTAAAGATTGAAAATAATGTATACCAAAAATAACTCATACCATAAAACCGAACTAATGGATTTTTTCTACATTAAAAAAAAATACCGTAATAAAATCAATTTTTTTCTATTTGAAATAATTCAACAAACTTGACAACTTTATGAACGGAACTTATCGTTGTTGTAGTTTCGTTCCACGTTGATGAATAAATCGTAGTATTGAATAATGCAGTCATAGTTTCGTTTACTCCCAAACAACCATCAATACGTGTTGGTAAACGAAATGAACGCATTTGATGTCGAAGTATTTGTGAACCAAAAAAAATCCATATTTGAATCAATAGACTTACAATCAAAGCAATTAATGCACCCTAAATTTTTATACTTTTTCTTTATTTTTTAATAAAAAACAAAAAGGCTTTCAATAGTACCACTGAATTAACCCAAGGAAGAAAAAACCCAATCATAAAAATAGCACTTATAGGTCCAGACAAAACACCAAATAAAGATAAAGCTGCTTGAAGAAGATTACCAAGTAATGAAACAAGATAAGTTATTAATATACAAACAACACCAAAAATAAGTGCTAAACAAAACAATTTCAAATAAATGAATTTGTTTCTTGTTCTATTAAACTTACATAACATTTTTGAATACCAAACATCTTGTTTATCAGTCATTTCTTTTCGATAAAAAAATTTTATTATATCAGAAAGAACAACTGCTGCTAAACTATTCAAACCCGATGATAAAGTACTAATTGTATTATCATAAGTTTTAAAATTCGAAAGAACTCAATTTATAATTTTACCTTAATGCACCACTAAATACACATGCAAGAAAAATACCTGGCAAACCTTTAAATCGTTTTAATGTTTCCATAACAAATAATGGATAAAGCTATAGAAGAAAAAAATTTGGTAATTTTCAAGAAACAACAAAGCATACTTGATCTGCCTGTTTTATCACTCCAGTACGTAGTGGATCACAAGCATAATATTTAGCAAACATGACAAGACCAACACCACAACAAAGTGAAAGAATGAATATTAAACCAACTAAGTTGAACAGTAGTGCTCTAAAATGAATATTTTTATAGTTATATTTGCCATAGATTTTTACCAACAATTTTGCATCTCGAACAGTTGGAACACAAAGATAACGTTGTACTTGTGCTTGATTAAAACCTAATCATATTTTGGTGTATACAATTAAATATAGAAACATTTAATGACAATTTACCATAGATTGTAAGCCATGTAAAAGTTGCACCGAATAATATACTCCATACCGTATGACGAGTGGTTGGATCAGGATCAAAACTAGAAAATGAAATTATATTAGCAATTTACAAGACAACCATCAGTAGAATATGCAACTTTTAGTAAAAAAAAAAAAAGAAGATTTACATTCAAGTTCTGAATCTAAAAAAGATTCCGCTCGTTCCGAAAATTATTCAGGATCGGGACACGAAAACGTTTGTCTTGCTGGACACTAATTTAAATACTTACTTAAAAAATTCCACTCGACCACCATCTAATGCTTTTTGCCAAACAGCTCGACTTCCACCTGCATCAATAATACCTGAAAACAACAAAATATATTTATTCTATTATAAAACTATTCACCTTGAATGACCGATGCAAGAAGACCAATAAACATGACAATTGTTTGAAAAACATCTGTCCACATAACAGCTTTCATTCCACCCTATTGTATTATATTTTCAAAAACAAACGAAATAAAATCTTATTTAATTAACATACCACTGTTGTATACGTTGTACAAATAACTCCAATTGAAATAACACTAATCCAAACATTTAAACCAGTTACTTGACTTAAGGCTAAAGCTGGTGCATAAAGTACTAATGCCATATAAATAATCTAACAAAGATATAAGAGATTTTATGATAAAGGGCAAAAAAAACTTTTTCTATACCATTTGTATGGAAAAAATAAGTGAAGCAATTAATCGTACATAACGATCAAAACGTTTTTCTAAATACTAATTATATTACCGAAAAGATAAGATATTCTATATTATTCATTTCAATTTTCATTTACTTCATAAGCACTAGTTACTTCAAGTTTGACAAACATTGGCATAAATAGTGTGGATGTCATAAGAATTGTGAATATATAACTAATTCCTATATAAATCAATGAATCAAGTTAGATATAATCGGCTTTTTCTTTTTTTTTTTTTTTTACCAATAATCCAATATTGTGTCCCATAAACATAAACTTCAGCTGGAGTACCCAAAATGGTAATTGCAGACATAAAACTAGCTAGTAAACTCATAGCAGTTGGAAAAACCTAAATTACTATTTGAGTATCTATTTAATATGATGTTTTCTAAATGATTTACACCCATGGATTTATTAGCTAAAAGATATTCTTTTGCTGAACTTTTTGATTGTTCAAGAGTAGTTCCACTATCAACATTTTTTTTCTTCTTTCTCTTATCAATAAAACCATAGAAGAAACCAATGGCTGCAGAAAATATAAGTAATAAAGCAAAGATTATATAATCAACAACATCAAAACGCATATCTCGAGGTGCCATGTTTCTAGATTAAAACCTAGAATAATCGATAAATGTATTTACGAAGATAATTTCAAATAATTCTATCAAATGTGTTTCAAAAACGTTTGTTATTCTAATTTTTCTTTCAAATTTTACACAAAATTCTTAGTTCTAAAATATCATTCTATTATCAAATTTAAGCAATAAATTGTTCTATAGACTGTTCATATTAATAAACGAATATAACTATCTTTGAAATACAGCAAAACTACAAATACCATTCATATTCACCTGTTGATTTTGTAGATTTTCTATTAAAAATTGAAAACATATAAGAAAATTCTTCCTATGATCTGATGACTTAAAACTGTATCCACAAACTTCATTGTTGAATGTATAATTGTCTCTCTTAAAATTTCATTTAGCAATGGTTGCAATCATTTTAGGTTCAAATTCCATACTTTATATTGTTCATAATATTTTCCAATGCCTCATTTAGATCTATTTTGCTTAATAACAGCAAACAAAAACTCAACAAGAGATTCTCTGCATTTAAAAAAATCATAGATGTTTCCAGAACGATATCTTAAGACCAATTATCTTCTTTTTCATAATCATTTTATGATCTTGTCAAGATTTAACAATTTTATCTCCCTATAAACTTCGTTTTTTTTTCATTTTCTATCAAAATTTCAATAAAATATTTGATATAATACATCTCATTACGCTTGTTCATATAGTAGAAGAGGTCGGGACACAAAAGTATTTATCTTTCTTTTCCCTTTGGTCATGATCATCGAATAGACATATACATATAAGTATATATATGAAAGAGAGTCCAAATCAAGCATGACGGGTTAACTTTAGTCACCATCTCGCTCGACTCGAGAGAGAAGGAGAAAATTTATAGACATTACTATTAACTATTCACACATAAATACACACAGACACACACATATAATTCTTCATTATTTATGCGATAGAATACAAAATCTAGTAAAAAGTCATGTCATTAATAATAAAAGATTCCATACAATTACAAGCAAATCTGTGCACATCATCAGGATGTAATTTACCAAGTGAAGCTATATGTTGTCACTGCCATAAACAATATTGTCATTTATATTTTATGTGCCATCGAAAATATTTAATAGATAATATGCAATCAATATCTGAACAAATGTCATTAAATCGTCAACAAGATATATCGGAAATTATATTCATTTATTGATAAACAAGCGAAAGATGCACACGAACAAGCAAAAAAAACTCGTTGATGATGCTATTGATCGAAATATTAAAGCAGGTCAAAATATTCATACATATATTGAAAATCGTTGATTAGCTAAAGTAAATTATTTTAAAATAATAATTGTTTTAAAAAGAAAACATTTTTTTAATTTTAGCTTAGTCATTTATAAGAATGTTTAGCATAATTTGATAAAGATGCGCAATTACTTAATTCAAAATTATCTCGCCGAATATTTTTACCAGCTGATATTATTTTAGAATTAGGTCGTAAATATGCATATAATATGTTTGATAAATTATCATCGATATATAAATCTGATTGTTATGTTATTCAACGTAAAAGTGAACGATTTATTGAAAATTATCGTTATTATAACGAATTAATTAATTTACGACAAAAATGGACCTTTCTTCAAGCTGCTCTAACAACGTTTTATTTTCCAGCGAAAAATGGTATTTCATTAGATAAAATTCTTACATTTCTTGAGTATCGTCACGTGAGTTTATAAGTAAAATTTTTCATTATTTCAATAAATGATATTTAGGATCGAGTATTAGAGAATTATCGAGAATATTTATCAATGAATGAAAAATCCAAGGAGAAAGAGGAAGAATCAGTTTTTATATTTAATAGAATTTTCATCATCTTTTAGATTTAGTATTAAAATCAACAGAAGAATTATTAGATGAACTAAGTTTTCTTTCGAAAAAAGAATTACCAAAAGAAGTAAGGCAATATATTTTTGTACCAGAACTTCGAATGAAATGAGACGAGATGAAAAAATCATCTTATGAGGACCAATTAGTTGTACCATTCCATACTATAGAAAAATCATTCGGTATAAAGATTTTTTCAAGCCTTGAATTGACTTCCATGACTTTCTTGTTGTATTATATTGGTTTCTCTCTCTCTCTCTCTCTGTTTCGGCTGAGGTTAGTTAATTTCATATTTCAATTTTTAAAATACTGATAAATCCTACTTAATTTTTCAAAAACAATCAACACTTATGGTAGAGAAGTGCTGGAAAACTTTAACGAGCTTGAAGTACACAGAATTATATAAAAATCAGTGTTATTTTTCATTGATTAAACTTCCTATAAAAAGGTGAAGAGGTTTACATGAAAACCTTTTACAATAGTTATTTCTATTCATGAAAGAGGTCGAAAAGTGGAAATAAGATTGGCTCTATTAGCTGCCGTACGCTATAAAGTACATTGAGTTCAAATTTCATAAGATAGAAATTACACTTTTTTCATAAACAAATAAAACAAGAAGAAAATAAAATGATACGAGAACTTTAAGATATTTTATCTCACGGGATATTTCAAAAGATATATTCGTCTCATTTCATTTGAAGATTTCTTTTTTGAATTCAGAATAAATCCATTATTTTAGGCTTATAATTTTACTTATATAAATGAAACATCGATTGAAAAAACTGATGAAACAATAACTAGTAGTGATTTGATTAAAACTGATAGGGATCATTGTGATGATGAAACATCTTGAAATTAAAGTCATATCTGGCAAATTGAAGATGGTAATGATTATAAAAAAAATTCTATAAATTAGGTGAATCAATGAAAACTCTTGAAAAACAATTTGAAAAAGATTTTCAATCTTTTATAACTATTCAACAACAAGAAGAATCTTAATATGGTTTTAATTTCTTAAATAGAAACTTAATTTAAGAGTCTCTCTCTCTTTCTTTTTAATGCTTATGTTGCATTTTTTTTTCTTTTTGATGCAACATTACATAAGAATAATAGTATACTTACATCAATAGTTTATTGTTATTATTTAAAAAGAGAAGAAAAATATAATTAAAAACATATCTTTTTAAACTTCTTACCTGAAAGAATTTGAATAAGAAGATTTATTTATTTACGAGGAGTTTGTGAAATTACTCGTGCTATTTTGAGTATAGATGGGATTGTTTTTGGTATGTGTTTAATGGCAAGAAGAGTTGTCCTCGTTTGACTGCAAAAGATATATTAACAATAAAAGTTTCGATTGCACACATTCGAAAAATGTCATGGGAAAAAAAGATACAAAAATTACGATAAAAATAATTAAAATGAATGACTTTGAAAAGGTTTTTGCTTGATTATGATGTTCTGTTGTTGCAAATAAAGTATCTGCTTTTAGTTTCAATAGTTGTTTTGAATAAAAATCATGCATTCGACATTACCTAAATCATTTGATTCTCGAATATGTTGTTTCATTAATATCGCATCACACAATGAAGTAATACATACATAAGCAAATGATCGATAATTATATTCAAGTTTATTATTTCGCATTGATGATTCATTATTTTATTAAATGTTAAATATACTTGACACTGACATGAATGTGATAATAGATTAGGATTATCAAAGATAAGATTACAAAGTAGTTCATATTGTAATACTTGATAATTATTCTGAAAACAATCATAATATGATGAAAAAGGATCAGGGTTAACAAGTATTATGACTTGTAATCGAAGTTTTTGATATGATTTTGGAACATAGTTTAGATTACGTTAATCATTTGTAGAAGAGTAATACTTCGCAAAATGTTGACTAAATTAAGATTCTATTAGAGTAATAATTGAATGAATTAAATTATCAGTTTGATAGATAGATCCATGACATTGTTTATGCCATTATGAACCAAAATCAGTTATCATAATTTCAGTCTGATAATCAAATATGACAATAGCATTACGTTTAGGTGAAACACAATTGTTCTATGAATAATCATCATGTTCAAATTAGCATCAATCAATAGATAGTTGGTCGTTAATACAAGAATTAATTTTTAGTAAAATATGTAGAAGATGCCAAAAGAAAACTATTGCTGAGAAAAGACAAAGTTTGTATCTGTGGGTGTGCGTTCTATCTACATCCATCTGACCGATCTTTGCTTGACGATATAAATCACTACTATCTCTTACACAAATGTTCAAGTTGTCCATTCTAAAAAAGATGTCGCGTCTATAGAGCGCTCAATGCTACTCAGGAATAGAAACGTTTCCATTTTAAATATTATCGATCGTTCTCTTTTAAACGGTACACTCAATTTTCTTCGCCTTTAAGGATGCGGGTGTGTGTGATGGGGTATGGCTGTGAGAGTCTGTATGGATGGGTGTGGTTGTCCGCTTCAGTGTTGTCTTTAGCCATATCCACACTCACACCCACCTCCGAATCTCACACCCTTTTATTTTAATGAGTACTTTGACTTTTGACTTATGGGCTGTGGCAATCGAAAAATGATTATTATTCATGTCTTAAATTAGTCTTTACTTGATTAAGTGCTTCTAATTTCAATTGTTTCGTATTGATAGAAGTTCGATAGAAAACTAGCATGAGAATTTCTTTTTTTACTCTTGAATGTTTGTTCCTTTCGAGTGTTTTCTTTTTTAATTCTTTAAGAAGAAATAAATAAACGAAACTTGAAGAGATTTATTTTTTTACAGTTAAACAAATGATTTATACAAAAAAAGCAGTGCATATTTATAGAAATAAGTGTTGTCTATTTTACTTAAACAAACCACATCGTATCCTGTGTATCGTCATTAAGTATCATAACGTTTGTTTGTATATCTTCAAGTGATTTTGCTTCCAATGTATTTCCATCATCCTCACTAAAAAGAGAGTAGAAATAAGAAACTAGAAAATAGTTATTGTTATAACTATTTATACTTTTCGAGAATTTCATCATCGCTATGACCAAATTCGTATGCCTTGGAAGCATACGCAGCTAAATGAGCATAATGTACTGGAGCCGGAATCGAAACTGATTTCGAACATCAAACATCAGTATGACAGAGCTAGAAAAAAAATTATATTTGTCATTTCCTGTTGAATTCAATATATTTTGAAAATTTCGAGAAAACAAAATCTGCATACCCAGTATGTTAGTTATTGAATATCGTCATTGCTAAATCCATTTTCATCATGGAGCACATGATAAAGTGCCGGACGTAATGTTTCCATTCTTGAAAATAGAAGAAAAATTATATCGATGTTACGATGCAAATATTAAAAAACTTGCATAGCAGCTTGCGAGCATAAGTAAAAGTCAGATTGAGATGGGTGTGTTATGTCAAGATCAACAACAGTGCCCGCTTCAACATTGCTTGTCCGTTGACCATCATATAAGGTAAAGAAACGTGCATTATGTCGTTTTCTAACAATAATAAATGTTTATCTAGGAAGTGGGTTCGGTCCATATACAACTGTTATCATTAGAGAAATACATTTTTTGTTTATTCATTGAATAAAAAGAAATGTTTTTTTCCTACTTACCTCGACAGACAGATTTTATTTTATTAACTTCATTATCGAGTACTTTTTGAAATTGTCCATCATCGACTCCATCACGATAAAAAACGATTTGATTCGGTAGTGTATTACCGCACGAATGAGCAAATACTCGAAGTAAATCCATGATTATTTTATCAATGTCTTTCATAATCTTAATTGAACAAAGGCTTTTCTTTGAATATTCTAAAATTATAAAGATAATCTTTGTCGGAACGAACATTCAACCAAAATATTTACGTTCACAAAGACGAACTGCATAACGGCTACATGACAGATCACAAGATCCAACAATGGCTGCAATCGATGGTTTTTCTTTTGAAGACGTAGTATGAGTGACCTAGAAAAATAATAATATGTATTTATCAAGAGTGAATAATTTTGATGAGTCCAAGAACATGAATATTTACATCAGCACCGAAAAACATGAAACGATCATTATTCGACGCTTGACTAATAGAAAAATAAAATTTTCTATGATCAACAAAATCTATTGGAAAAATACAATCTCATACACATATGAATTTTTTCTGAATTTCTTTGTATTGCTTGAAAACTAGCACATTGAGTTACTAAACCAAGTTTTTGATTTCCCAATTGTTTCACATAATTATATACTGCTGGTGCTGCATCATTCAGTATGACAATCGCTAATTGCCAACCTTGACTTTTAACATTTCTGAATGTTTCATCAATGTCATCTTTACGACTCGGCTTGGCCATTGTCAATGGATTTGAATTGATTCCAATGCCGTATCTTCTTAGTAACTATTCGAATTTGAAATAAAAATATCATTTCCGTCATTAGATAAAATTCTTAACTCACCAATGGTAATTGTTGCTCGAAAAATTTTAGTAAGTCGATTATATCGTTGCCAGGTTTTAGACCAAAATAAATCATACCCCATTTATTGATAATCGACGTTAAACAATATTGATTTCGAATTTTCCATTTACCAAATGAAACATTTCAACAACTTCTTGATTGTTTTGTGTTTGATATTTTATTTGAGGTGGTAGTAAAATGCGAGCTAAATCCACAAAAATTAATATAGAACCATCAGTTAAAAAATAAAATATGATTTATCGCGAATTTTCATCATGTCTTCAGTATTGACATGAATATTGAGTGCTTTTAAATAAGAATCAGAATTGTAATTGCGCTTATTTATAATATCCATAATTTGATTGTAGCGTTGATCAGGTTTAACAATCGCTTTTTTCGCTACTACAGCTTGTTGTACACTGCCTAATGGTCGCATGGCACGTTCCCATTCAACAATCTATGAAAAGAAAGGAAGGTCTTATTTATACATTCGTGTTTTTTCACAAGTTCTAGTAACTTATTTTAAGGAAGGGCTTCTAATAAAAAATTATTGAGACAAGTATTTACTCTCTCAAAAAGAAATTATGACTGTGAGTATATTCCAATCATTGTCAGAACAATGAATCGACTTTCAAAAATATTTCTCCAGAATTTGAATGACATTCATAAATTAAATAGATAACAACTGAAGTCTCTTCAATGACGGAGAAAAAGCTATTTTCTTCATTTTGAATGTCATATTATCTCCAAATCTTAGTCGTACATAGGAGACATCGTGAGTTCAATCTGAGTAAACATTTTTATGTATTTCACTGAAGAAAGGTTCGTTCTCATTTGAAATAATGACTATATTAGAAATAAATAACTCTCAAATAGTTGATCAAGGATGATGAAGTCTTTTGAATACTATCTGAAGCGTATGACTGAATTTTCGATTAAATTCCAGCATAACCATATTTTTTTCAATGTGATCACGGTTAGTTATAAAAATACCATGAATCAACAGAGGTGAATCTTTGTAGAAATTTTCCTTGCAGAACACCAATATCAAGTAAATATCAATAGAATGTTTTCTTTAGCTAGATAAGAAGCTGTTAGCGTAATTTCTGCAGTATGAAAATGAGAAACACAACAGAGCTGTTGGTATTGCAAAATAGACGACTAATCACTATATGTTTCAGTTTATGATTTTCTACGTACTGCTAATATATATATGCCAATGTTGAACGATATTAATCGCAATATATTGCAGTAAACATTAAAGAAAGGTAAAAGACAACTATCATACTAATCACACAAATAGATTTTGATCTCACGGTCTTTGATAATTCGTTTGTAAAATATCTGTCAAATATACCTGAACAGTTTCCATCGGTAGCCACTGAGCTCGTTCTTCTTCACCATTTCTAGTATCATCGATACATGGCAAATTTGGATAGTTCAATTTTTTGTAATTCTTAGCAAAGTATTCTGCGACCGTGACTTGTTTTGGTAGTGATGCACTCGCCGAGTCATCATTGTGCCTTAGGTCAAATTTGAGTTGATTAGCCGGTATGCCAAAGCCTTTCAGTCGATATTGGATCGAACGTCCGGCATGGGTGGTCTTTACTATCAAATAAAATATTATTCTAAAGTCAGCCGAAATAGTATTTATCTGTCATACTTGGTATATTTTTAAAGAGCTTCTGCATGCCTTCTAATTCAGCTTCGTTTACTCCCCGTGTAATGTCTTAACGTAAATATCGCCAGGCAAAATCAACAAAATTTAGAGGTTGATAAAAACATGTAAATGCCAAATTGACATTGATAGTAGGACCACCACGAGTCAAATAAAGTGCTTGGTGAAAACCATTTGCGAAACCACGTCCATCTCGTAAATATAGTTTTTCATGATTAGATATTAATTTTAGTTCTGATTTGAAAGAAAACTAGCCGAGATCAAGCATTTTTTGACGTCGATCATAGTATTTATTCCGTATACAAACGTATTGATTATGTACGCTTTGTTTAAACCAAGTTTTTATGATTCGTATAGGATCACGTGGTCGTATTGTGGCTTTTCCATGGATAAAATCGAAAATGTTTCCAATTTTTTCTTCTCGCACAAGATTAAGTACTTTGAATTCAAAGGTTTTCTCTTTATTATTAATTGTTAATTTAACTCGCCGAGGTCTTGTAAAATCTGTTAATAATTCTCTTGTATACAAATTTTTTCCTTCGTCATACCTAATAAAAGAATCAAAATTTCGATATTCAACCTGAAAAGAACTTACCAAACGATAGGAAAATTCTTTTCATCTCCGATAAGTACTTGAAGTACTTCACAACGTTCGTTTTTCTTTGCTGGACAAGATCATTGTCCATCACGTACCATCACTATATCGATATCGTATTGGTTGACTACCGCATTGTCAATGGAAACTGGAAAATGATTTGCATATATGTCAATAGCTTTACCAACAGTTCCGTGAGCATCAAGACGGCGAATAGGCATCAGTAGAGCAGAATCAGGAACAACAGAGTACACACCATGTCGTCGTTTTATTGGATCTTCGGTTGGAGAGCGAACATTTTTTTCTCTTTTGAATTCAGTCGACTGCAACGAAAGCTAGTCATTGCTTCGGTTGGTGTAGGAAATTCACTTTGTGAGCGGCTAGAAGTCATAGTCTGATTTGTCGATGGACTATTTTGTGTAGAATTTGATTCAACAGATGACTTGAACAAGGTATCAGAGTTCAAATCAGCTCGGGCTAAATGAACAGATAATTAATTGAATTATTAAATATAGTAAACATCTGACATACATTTTCTTCCTTTTGGCATTGTTTGAGTTTTTATTGCCAATAATAATTGTTAAGTATAACGTTTCCTGGAAATATGTAAGAAATAATTGGATATTACGTTGACAAAAGTGTAATAGATCTGAAAAGTTGTAGCAAGAAGTAATATGATTATCAATGTAGAAACAATATAGACTGTCAATAATAAATATATCATCAAAAGAAAGATACTGTAGGGATACACTGATGAACATCTATTGTCGGCAGATTGTTTGTCTTCAATTTCACTTAATAAAATAGAATTATAATGTTGTTTGTTATTGCTGAATAGTCAGTTGATTGTCAGGGTATAAATACCTTATTATAGCAACTAGTGGGTAATTGATAAAAAGCTTCCCAGTCTGGTATAGAACAGAAAAACAGATAGTCTGAAGAAATTCTCAAAGAAAACAAAAGTCAACAAAACAACTGAAGCACAGAACGAGAAGAAAACTCGCAGATTTTTATTCATTCTGTTGATTCAAGTATATTAGCATTCTAAAATCGTGACCTAAGGCAAAGTGCAACCGTATTAGGTGTTTCTTATTTGCTGCCTCTGTCATTAGGCGCTTTTATGACAGACAAGTTAAGATGAATAATTTATTAAGCCAAATATGAAAGACATCTTAATCTTTTGGTTGGCGTCATCTTAACATATAATGTGTGGGTATGCGTGAACAGAAAATCTGTACAGCCAATCATGTTGAATAGCATGAAGTTTAAAATATGTTGCTATAATTCAATTATCTGTTAAATCTCAAAGTGAACGAATGTAGGTGTGATTGGATGTTCTTACATAGGGTGTGGGTGTATAGATGAGAAGAAGATTGAAACCCACGCCAACTTCTATATCTGGAAGACCATTAGCACTTGTGAATCATCTGATGGTCTCGTTTCATTAAAACAGAAACTAATTTCCAGAAAAGGATGAGGATATGAATTTAGCCTTCATTCACATCCACTCAACCTCATGATATTTTTTGAATTATGAATATTCTTTATGATTACAACAAACTTAGAGAAAGAAAATCATTAGACGCAATTCATTATTGTCTCGTAATGTTTATTAAATTCGCCCCGGTTTGTTGAGATGTGATGCGAAATAGTGTCCTGGATGTGATGTGCGTATGTGATTTTTAAGAGAATACCCACACTAGGTATGCACCAGTTCTAGTCCGAACTGATGAATTGGGTATTCAATCATTTGATGTTTATTCTATTAATCGAATAGTACTTTTCTCTTTTGTAATATATTGTAATGAATTAATTCTCGGGCTGTTAAAATACTGATATAAGTTATAACATTGAATCAATTGATTATTCTTCTATTTCTACATGTCAATCGTTATAACGTAGAATGTTATAAATAAATTTGATCTGCATGTATATCTTCATTAAATTTTTGTGAGGGATTCATTCAGATACAGTTTTCTTTTATTATCATCGTTTTAACTATTTTCTTCGGTATGAATAATTATTCTGGATGATGGATTTCTATCATCATTTGTTCGAGAGAGAAATGCTTCCTGTAAGATCAATACTTAAATTAAAAAGCAAAAAAGCCGAACTCACTTTAATAAAAATTAAACGAATATGATTGACTTCATGCATATAATGGAAGCTTGTAATTGATCAAAATAACTATTAATTTAGAAATTTTAATCATGAATGATTCTGTTTCGTATTTTTCAATTTCAAATGGTATCCATATTTTGCTAATAAATCGTAGAAGAATGTTCAGATTTTCTAATATGTGTTCAAGACAAAAGCATTTTAGGTCAGAAAATAAAATTAGAAATCGAGTTTGGCAAATGATGATCAGCTGTTAAAAACATCAGGTATAGCTTCTTTCATTTTTCAGTGCTGCAAAATACTCTCTTCGTATGATTATGCCTACAAATAACAAGTCTATTTAATATTATCTTTATAATTTATGACAAATATAATAAAAGTTCAATTATTTGAGAACTTCAGAATAATTGAATATACTTTTTTTAAACAGAATTTTATGCTATTTTGAATGCATAATTGAAGAGAGAGAGAAACGTCTGTCGACATAATGGCAAATATATCATATACAGGCTGTCCCAGAAGTCCCTTCCTAAAAGCTTTTCCGTTTCATTTCACTATTGATTGAATTTCATTGAGTAAGTTTTTTATGCATAATAGAAAAATGCACAGAGTTTTTATTTCCAAAGACAAAATTCAAAATCATTGTTAAAAGCTAAGATCTTCAGCCAAAATAGAAAAATTGTAGCCTGTTTTCTCTTTCCAAAAACGCTCATGGATGATGTGTACTTTAATCGCTTGAGTTTTGATTTCGTACTACTCATTTCGTTTTTGTAAAGATGTACCAACACAAAATTCTGCAAAAAGACCGTTCAAGCATTGGGCAATTTAAAGATCTGAATCACTCGACAACTCGAAGTAATTAAAAAAGAAATGAGTAGTTTCATGCAAAGTCAACTAGAAAAGCCTAGAGTATTCAGAATTTTTCTTTCATATTAAACTTTGTAGAGCTTTCTACACTGATCACTTTCGTAAAAAGATTTTTCGGATTTCATTGAATAATGACGATGCTGTAGTCAAAATATTAAACAATACTGTAAAAATCGCATTTTAAGCTGTTTTACAGTGTTAAATATTTTGACTATAAGATTGCCATTATTCAATGAAATTAGAAAAGCCTTTTTGCGAAAATGATCAGCGTAAAAAGCTCTACAAAGTTTGATATGAAAGAAAAATTCTGAATATTCTGTGTTTTTTCTGGTTGACTTCCAATTGGATTACCCGAATGATATGTAATATTTGTCTAAAAAAAGAAAACAGGCTAAAGTTTTGTATTTTGGGTGAAGATCTTAGCTTTCAACAATGCTTTTGAATTTTTTCTTTAGGAATAAAAACTCTATCTGTTTTACTATTATCTGTAAAAAGCTTACTCAATGAAATTCAGTCAATAGTGAAATGAAACGAAAAACTTTTAGGAAGGGACTTTTGAGACACCCGGTATATATATAGGGGGTCAAAAAGTTTTGAGAATTAGTAATATTTCTTCAATAAGAAGCATATTATATTTATTTCTCTATATCAAACGTTAGAAGACGTCATAAAAATTTTCGATAGTTAGTTCGATTTACTTTTGAATAATCTTTTTGTATTCATCGATATGTATCAAACTGATGGCTCAGTTATTGCTTAGTTATACTTGTCGATTCAGTACCAAAAATTTGGCGGCTTTTATGAAACGGACACTGTAATAATATGATGTAATGATAGGCGTTGAAAGACCCGACCAGACATCGAAGTATTAGGTAGAGGAAAGAGAAAAATCCTAGTTCATAAAAAGAGAAAATATTTTACTGTCGTAAGAAGATAGCAACATGTAAAGAAACAATGCAAGTTTCTTTATGAAAACGTGGGTATTACTTATTCGTCAGATGCATTCTATACGATCTGTTAATCCTACGTAATGATCGCAACAATGTTTAAAAAGCATTAGTTAAGAAATTTTCAACAAAAACTATCACGATGCATCGATTGTGTCAAATCCATC